ACTGATAGTGGAAAAGTTATTGCATTTTCAGATAAAACTTTAGTAAAGTGTCAAACAATTTTGAAAATTCGGCAAGAATATAATTTGAAGTACAATAATATTGAAATACCATCGGATTTGTCTTCTACCGAAGGTTATCATCGTCAATGTTATTGTAATTTTACAACTTTGAAACAAAAATATCTGCAGAGTAAATCATCAACTAATTTAACAGGAACTCAATCTCATTCAGGTACTGTACAAAATTATATGCAATAATAAAAGAAGCACTGAGAAATTTTTAATTTTTTCAGTATGATTTTTGACAATTTTTTTTCTCAAAAATGATATAGTTTCTGCTTGTTATTTGTGCAAATGAACAAAATCTCTAAATTTTTAATCCAAAATTTTTTTGAAAAAAAAAAAAAAAAAAAAAGCCACAAAAAAGCCATAATTCTATATTCATTGTAAAACAAAATAACTTTATTAAACCGAGAAAAAAATATTCATTTTGTAAAAATTTCTTTGCTTTGAATAAAGCTCAAAATTTCTTGAAAAAATTTTCTTAATTAAAGAAAATTATCTTGGTTCAAAATTTTTCTATTTGATTTAAAACTAAAAGATATTATGAAATAAATTTTTTGATTGAAAAATTTCTTCAAACAAATTAATTTATCTATCTGTGTATCTGAATAGATATCTGCACAAATATTTCTCTAATCAAATATCTGTTATAATATATAAGATGAACACGTGACCAACAGCCAATGGGAACGCGGAAAGTGACCAAGGCTCTAACGGTGATCGTCGCACTCACTCGCACTTATTATTATCTGTCGACCGTCTAAGCAACATTTATTTTGCTGATTGCCAATTATTAAACCCCGGAAAAACTGTCTGCCATTTTGTAAAAATTTTTTATTATATTTAATAAACACGCTGTAAAAATTTCAGCGTGAATCAAACACTTCATTTAATATTTATTGGCATACAACTTTGGAGTTGTTTGCCAGAAAGTTACACCCTCTAAAAGTGACTGCCTTTCTCATTTTTTTGTTTAAAATTAATTAAATTTTCGAATGTCATTAGATTTTTGATGAATCAAAAGCTTCATTTTCGAAAACTTTTTTTACAACTTACCTGGATGCGCAGTACCAGGTGTACCCAGGTATGTCAGGCAAACATTCATATACCTGCTCAACTATTCAACTAACACCTCTAAGCTAAGTTTCATGGTGCATCAAACACTTCATGAAACGTGCGTCATGAGCTCTCCGATTATTACTGTTATGTCTTATGGAAAGTGTTATAAAGACTATAGCACACACTTTCCATAAGATATAACAGTAAGGTTTCGACCAATCGCGTTGCTCAATTTGGTTAGGACAGCCAAATTGAGCAACGCGATTGGCCGAAACCTTACTGTTATGTCTTATGGAAAGTGTGTGCTATAGCCTTAAGGCCGCAGCACACACTTTTGCATAAGCGCATAACCATAAACATAAGGAAAGGAAATTGATTGGTCCCCAAGTATATGCATAAGAAAATGAACCAATCAATTTTCTTATGCTTATGGTTATGCGCGGGAGCGTCCCGTTTGACCACGTTGCGATTGACCACAGCCAATTATATCGACCTGTGCCTAGGGTAACCAGCAACGATTTACCAATCAGAGAGTCCTATTTTGAATTGGCCAATTGGTGACGTGGTAAATCGGGTGCCACCCTTATGCGCTTATGCAAAAGTGTGTGCTGCGGCTTATAGCCTTAAGGCTGATGGCAGAGAACTAGACGTGAGCGCTTAGGGCCTATTCAGACAAACTTGCATAGGTGCATATGCATAACATAAGACCATATGGACCAATGAGCATCGAGTATTATGTTATGTAAGTCAATATAGCGATTTAATACTCGATGCTCATTGGTCCATATGGTCTTATGTTATGCATATGCACCTATGCAAGTTTGTCTGGATAGGCTCTTACGTCTGTCGTAATCGTGGACGTAAAGTAAGACAGAGAAAAACGTATGCACTGCGCGACAACGATTCGTTCCGCGGCTTCTTTCGCGGGGCAAGAGGAGCGTAGAAGTGACCAATCAGCTGGCAGCGTGGCAATGGCTGATTGGTTAGAGGCTACGCTCCCCTTGCCCCGCGAGAGGGACTACGGAACGAATCGTTGTCGTGAAGTGTACAAGGCCATTGTCACAATGGCCTTGTACGATATACGTTTTTCTCTGCTTTACTTTATGTCCACGACTACGACAGACATCTAATTCTCTGCCATCAGCCTAACGTGTACAGATAGCATGTGACACATACGTAGCCATATTGAAAATTGTACAATTGACGCATGCGCACTCAAAATTGCGGTTTTTAGAGAACAAAGAAGTGCCCCTACTGTATGTACTTATACTGTGGTCTTGACCGTAGCTTAAGGCCCGTTCTGCAATGAGTCGTAAGTCGTAAGTCGTAGGCAAATTGACCAACTATAGTCGATTATTTAAAAAATAATCAACTATGATTGGTCAATTTGCCTACGACTGACGATTTACGACTCATTGTAGAACGGGCCTAAAGGCTTTTGCACATGAATTGCCATAACCATAAACATAAAACGTAAACGTAAGCTGAAGAACCAATCAAAATATTGCTTTAGATTTATGGCCGGTATTCATAGTCCGATCTTATATTTAAGATCGTCTTAAGTTCGAGCTTGAAATGCTACGCCACTGAAATATATACATACTGGAAGAGGCACTAAGCTGCAGAAAGCGTGCCGAGAGAGAGGGAAGATTTAGGGGCTACCTGTCTTTGTTGTACAGTCAGGTCCAAGAGTGTTTGTATCATAAGGAAGGTTAGGAAGGACGTCACTGTAACGGTTCGAGAACCGAGAACTATATAGAGATATATTAACTTATTGAAACACAAAATCTATTTCAAACATCAAGAATTTGACATTAATGTCTTTTTTCGAATTGATTAAAATAAAATGTTTCAGAACATGCCACATTGCCACCGTTACCTCAATAAGCCAAGCAAAAAACTAAACTTTCGATTTCGCCTGTACATCATGTGACTTGTTTCGTTCTGCGCAGACGCAGCGCCGGAAAAAACGAGATAGCAATCCCCAAACATCTATCTATCGCAGGCACGCTTTCCGTCTACGGCAAACAAAGCCAGTGCCTCTTCCAGTATAGATATATTTCAGTGTGCTACGCAGCTATTTGCTTGAGCCTAAGACAATCTTAAATAGATAAGATCGGACTATGAATACCAGCCTATGTATTCTAGGGTATGTATGTTCCAAAACGTACTCTCCGAGGAAAATTTTACTCGCTAGCTGTTCCGAAACTCTTTTAAGCGTTTCTGATTCAAATCAGCCATCGAGTAAAATTGTCCTCGGTTACTTGCGTTTTGGAACGTAAGCAGAAATAACTAGGATTTCAACCGATTGAAATCCTAGTTACTTCTACTTACGGCCAACTTTATCATCATTCTATCGTCTTCTAGGATACATAAAGCTAAAGCAATATTCTGATTGGTTCTTCAGCTTACGTTTACATTTTACGTTTATGGTTATGGCAATTCATGTGCGAAAGCCTAAGGGCCTATCCAGACAAACTTGCATAAGTGCATATGCATAACATAAGATCATATGGACCAATGAGCATCGAGTATTAAGTCGCCATATTGGGTGCTTTCCAATTGTTTAACACATCTTAACACAAACATACACAGGAAGGCACAAAGTGTAGCGATGTGCACGACTCAATTGGAACAAAGTTAATGTGCGATTTTCGAGTGGAGGGTTAGGATTCTTCATAACCATGTCCATCTTGATATTTTTTAATCCATGCTGAGGGTGATAGCATCGATATATAAAATGGATTAACATACATAGATGTATATATATGCATAATATTATATAATATATAAATAATATATAAATAAAATATATAAATGCATATTATATTAATATATAAATATGAATGAAAATTTAATCAGTAATATATCTAACCTGCAAATATGCAAAAGAGACAATTTTATTTTATTTATTAAATATAATAAAAAAATTAATTGTACAAAAACTCATTAATTTGAATTACTTACTTCAATGATACTTTTAATATTTTTATTGTCCATTTTTGTATTTGTATGGTGTACTTTAATGGTTGTCTTTTAATTAAAAAGGATAAAACGAAAAGAAAATTGCCAACATAATCGCCGTCAGTCTGTAACCGCATATTTCATTTGTCCCTAGAAAACAGAAGGTTACACAAGTTGACTAGTAGCCCTCGAGCTGAGTACGGATGTGTAAAGTTGTGTCGGCAGTTACGGCAATTGGAACGCGACTTGTGTCGCCGTGTGCATAAAAGTGTCTAGGGATATCTCAATTGGAAAGCACCCATTGACTTATATAACATAATACTCGATGCTCATTGATCCATGTGGTCTTATGTTATGCATATGCACCTATGCAAGTTTGCCTGGATAGGCCCTAAAGGCCGCAGCACATACTTTTGCATAAGCGCATAACCATAAGCATAAAAAAATTGATTGGTTCATTTTCTTATGCATATACTTGGGGACCAATCAATTTCCTTATGCTTATGGTTATGCGCTTATGCAAAAGTGTGTGCTGCGGCCTTTAAAGGTTATAGCACACACTTTCCATAAGTCCCGATCTACAATAGGTAATTTAAGCCCTAAGCCTTAAGAAATTGACCAATTACAGTCGAGTATTCTCTTCATACTTGACTGTGATTGGTCAATCTCCTAAGGCTTAAAGCTTAAATTGCCTATTGTAGATCCGGCCTTAGACATAACAGTAAGGTTTCGACCAATCGCGTTGCTCAATTTGGTTAAGGACGGCCAAATTGAGCAACGCGATTGGTCGAAACCTTACTGTTATGTCTTATGGAAAGTGTGTGCTACAGCCTTTAAAAGATATGAAAATTTTGTGGCGTTAAATAGAACAAACTATATATTTTTTTACAGAATATAAAAGCAAATATTTTTTCTTCAAACTGAAAAAGATAAAAATATGAAGCTATCTCTCTCTCTCATTTCAATTTATATTAAATTCATTGCATTTATGGAAACATAGTTGTTATGCATTTTTTATTTTACGTTTTTTTTACGTTGTTTATCGCTTTTTAGTTATCAGTAATATTGCGAAGATAAAAACGAGCTACGAAGAGTGCCTTACATAACCATCATTTTTATGCTGCTTTAAATATCAAAATATTTTTTTCCACAAGTATGAAATTTATTTTCTAATTAAAAATAAAAGAAATAATTTTTAATAAAAAAATTTTTTAATGTTATCTTCTAATTGTTTTTAATATTATTGTGTAGAGCTAATACAAACGGGATTACAAATAATTTTTAAAAAATTACAGAGAATAATTATGTGTCGACTGCAAACTATAGACAAATATTATAACAATCTACAATATAATGAAAATAATAGAGAAGTAAGTATATATACATATACATATACATATACATATATAAAAAATATTAATGAATTATAAAATTTAATATATTAATATACATATATGTAAATTGCAGATATGAATATATTTTAATTTATATCTGTCATAGAAAAAATATGTAATACTACTTTTTATATATATTTTTAGGAGGTATTAACAAAAATATCTGCTTTACCTAAAACAATAAAGTTTAAAAATGTTAATGACATCTCAGAAAGGTAAATAAATTTTTAAATTTAAGATATATTAATATAATAAAAATGTAAAAAATGCTTCTCTTTTTAATATATTTTTTTTAGATTCCTCGAAATAGCATCCATAATAGAAAAGAATCTATCTCTTTTTCAATCTGTATGTAAACATGTAGATGTGGTTACCACTATTATTGAATATTTAACTAATTTTGGTGTAAAACTTTCGCTTTGCAGTAATTTTGGTACATATATTAATATCAGTTGCAATTATAAAGATATTTTAATACTTTTTTTTATAAATTTATAAATTTTTTATTTATAAATTTTTTTAATAAATAATATAAAATGGAGCATATTATATGTATAAAATCTTTTATTTTAAATTTTTCTAGAAGAGGAATATGAGAGAGATGATATAATTTTATTAGTGATGCTTACTCTTGTGCATATATGTGGAGATACTCATATGGAGATACACTTATTTTTGGAAGATACTATTTAGTAATTATTTATGTTATATTTGTTATATTTGTTATGTTATATTGTTATGTTATATTTGTTAAACATATTAATTAATGCTTATATATTTTTTATCTTTAAAGTTAATATAATTATCAATTTGGTAAATATTATTTTTACATTATATATATTATTTTAGCAAAAATTATGAAACATATCAATATCAATGGAAACATAAATGTCATCAATTAATAAAAGGTAAGAGAGAAACGTGTAATATAATAAAATATTTTTTCTTAATCAAGATTTTAAAATTGTGCAGATCAGTTCAATGAAATGATACTTCTAGAAGATTCAGATTTGTATGCAGTTATTAGCTATTTGAGAATTATCTACCCTAAACAAGGATGTCTTTCTTATTTTAATAAAATTTGGGTCCAAGAATTTATAAAAGAAAAGTTTTTATGGCTTGTAAAAGAATATTTTGAGAATTTAACTCTTCCCATCTATGTATTTCGATCAAGGAAAGAATTACTTACAAACCATGAACATTGTAAAATGAAAATAGTATCCATATGGTCAGAAGATATTATAGCTGCAAAAAATTTAGCGTCATCCTTAAATGTATATTATTTAAATTGTTTTATTGAATTATATAGTATTATTGTATAATGAAGATTTTTTAAAGAATTGTTATTTCTGTTTTTAATAATTCAGAAAGAAGTTTTATTTATAAATACACACATGGATTTATATAGTGGTATTGTACTGTTACCTTATATAAAAATATTCAGTGAAACATTGAATACACTATTATACAAAAAACTGCAGAATTGTGATGTTAACAATTATGCGATAAAATCAGAGATTTTGAAAGCTGAAACTCCAACTTATAATCTGTTTTATAATGGTAAATGGCAACAACCTGTGAAAAATACATATTGGATGTATAATGAAGCTCTGTGGGCACATGCAACAAGGTATGAATATATTCTCTTAGTCTTATATTCTTAATTAAAATAATTCTTAAATTCAAAAATTTAATAAAATTGACATATGAAATTTATAATTAATTGCTTTATTATTATAGTTGTGATATTAAGAGATGCATTGATTCAGCTGAGAAAGGATTCAAAATTTGGAGTACTAAATCTATTATTTCTAGAAATCAAATATTATTCAAGTTTGCATCCATGTTAAAATGTAATGGGTATGTTTAATATATATGTTATATATTAAAATTATTTATTATATATATATTAAAAAGTTTTTATATATCTTATATTTTGCTGTAAATTTGTATTTTGAATTTTCTTAATAATAATTTTATGTTTTTGATTTTATTCTTAATAGTAATTTTTAATAATTTTTTAATTTTTTTTAGTAAATTTGCATTGGCGGATAAAATATTAAAATGGATAAAATTTTCAAATATTTATGAAACATCATTGCTGTGCTCTCAAAGTGAACGATTAGAAATAACAAAAATGCGTCAGCCAAAAGGTGTTATCATCTTAAAAGAAAAAGATGAAACTATTTTGTTTGATCGATTAACACAAGTTTTAATTGCTGGTAATTCTGTCATTGTGATATGTGATGGAAAAGACTCCTGTAGTCTGGCACAATATTGTGATAAGTTTTCAGTATCTGATATACCATCAGGTGTTATAAATTTATTGTCACATGACAATTTGAAGACTTTAGAGGCTTCCTTATGTGCAACTACATATGATTCTTATGCAGAACAATTTTTCTTGAAAGACAATCCAGAAAAAACATATATAAATCTTACTATACCCAAATATATTATACTGCCTATTAAATAATTTTCATAATATATTATACATGTATAATCTTCAGATAGAACGAAAATCTTTAGATTGGAATACAAGTATGGGTATAAATACAAAAAAAAATATGTGTGAACACATTTATATATTTATTTCCATTATAATTTTATAATTTCTATCACATTCATGGATTAATTCTTTGAATAAAATTGTATAATTATATGACTCACTTGGATTATTAAATATATTCTCTTCATTCCCAAAAGCATGAAAATAGATTTAAAAAACAACTACAATGTATCACCTTTATCATAAAAATATTTTGCATTTTTATTAGCAAATTATATTTGCTGCATAAATAATATATTTTCATACATATATTATGTTTTAGCAATTAAAAAAAATAATTTTTTTGTATATGTTCTTTTATATATTTTTATCTAAAGCTCTTTCATAAATTGTACTATACATTTCATTGGCAATTTCGCTTGTTGTATACGTAGATGGAATAACTACTGCAAATATATGAAGTCTTAATGATAAAAAAGAAATTACAAAAATCTTTCATTAATAAATTAGCTCTTTGTACTAAACAAAATCACTTTGCATATAAAAGCTGATTTAAATAAATATATATGTATAAATTTGTACTATTACATACATATGTATATATAATAAATGTATTACAAATAATATAAGGAATGTATTGACTGGAAGATAACTTGTGATCAAAATTTGTCTCTGAGAAACAAATTTATAATATCTAATTAAATCAAAGCTTGATTAAATGTGTGCGAATGATTAAATGAATCAATTTGTTTTGTTGCACATTTTGTTCTGTATACAAACAAAACCGTCTGTTCAAATTTGTAGAAAGATTTGACACTTTTTTGTTTATATAACACATTGTGTAAAGAATTAATTTCAATATCTCATTGTTGTATTCTATTTGTCAAAATCAATAAGATTTACGATGACGGTTTCACAGATTGTGGATAGAAGCCAAAATTATATCTAAGTTGTTCAAGGAATACAAATGTGAGAATTGTTTGCGGTGCTAATCGAATAAATGCAGGTACATAGCCCTAGAGTAAAATAGAATCATTCATTGAAAAAACTTCATGATCACAATTATTTTTAGAATGTTGAAATAAAAATCCTTTAATTATACTTACTTTAAAAAAAGCTAGTGGTCCAAGTTTGGCAGTATATAAGAAAAGTTCCATTAGATTCTGTACAGAAAATAAATGTAAGAATATATTGTATATTTAAATAAATTGTATAAATTGTATATTTCATAAAATCTATTATATAGGGTGTCCCAAAAGTCCCGGACCGGTCGAATATTTCATAAACTATGTACTTTAGAAAGAAATGTTTCAGACAAAAGTTGTATGGCTTGAAGGGTGCCATCAGATAGTGGCAATGATTTGACATGGGAGAGTTATTTGAAAGTCACGTGAAGATCACCGTCAATTTCTTAAATGGAACCTCCTATTTTTTATTACATTCGTGTAGCTTATCTCGAGAGCTTTCCAAAAAACTATAATAAAGTATTTCTTCATTGAGTACTTTTCGAGTTATGAGGTTTGAAATTATTTCTTAATTTTACATAAACCGTAAAATATCTTGTAAAATATTCATTTTTCGATTATCTTACCTTAATAATTTTATGTACAAAATAATGAGAGGAATCAATTGGTGTAAAGAAAAAACATGGTTGTTTTTAAGAAAAAAATATGTAATTTGCAATTAACAATTACATTTTTTTTTTAAACAACTATGTATTTTCTTTACACCAATTGATTCCTCCCATTATTTTGTACATAAAATTATTAAGGTAAGATAATCGAAAAATGAATATTTTACAAGATATTTTACGGTTTATGTAAAATTAAGAAATGATTTCTAACCTCATAACTCGAAAAGTACTCAATGAAGAAATACTTTATTATAGTGTTTTGGAAAGCTCTCGAGATAAGTTACAGGAATATGTAATAAAAATAGGAGGTTCCATTTAAGAAATTTACGGTGATCATCACGTGACTTTCAAATGACTCTCCCATATCAAATCATTGCCACTATCTGATGGCCCCCTTCAAGCCATATAACTTTTGTCTGAAACATTTCTTTCTAAAGTGCATAGTTTATGAAAATATTCGACCGGTTCGGAACTTTTGGGACACTCTGTATATAATTATTCGCATATATACTTACTTTAAATTCTCCAGGCTTAGCGTTCATTGCTCGTGTTTTTAGAACATCTAAAGGTTGCGTTAGCGTTGTTGCAATAGCGCCCTTCATATTAATATAAAAAAAATGATATTAGCTCTTAAGTACAAGATGACTTTGAAATTTTTTCTTTCAATAGACACTTACAGCCGATACACTGGATAAGACATGCGTTGAAGGATTATCTTGGAAATAACCAGTCTGTAACAACATTGTTTTAATTTGATCGTAAAAACTCAATTGACCGATAGTCATCAGCGCTGCTCTCATGGTCGCGGTCGAACATCCACTAAACAATTGTCGAATACCTTCTTGCTGAATTACACGAAACAATCCATCCAAAGCATGTTTGTAACTGTGCAATAAAGAAATATATGTAGTTAATAAGGGAATAGTACAATTATAAAGTATATGTATTATATGTATAATAATATCAAAGTTCTTACTTTCTTCTTAATTCTGGTGCTAATTTGATATCATTTTGCATGCGTACATTAATCACATCGCCGGGAGTCCCAAAAACACCGCCTGTAGCACCGGAAACTCCAGCCAGTAAGAGTTTTTGATAAAAAGGTAGTGGATAGTCAGGTGTTTCAAATGTTTGTTTGCCGACCTATTATATTTAACAATATGACCTGTGTATAATAAATTAAGAAAGAAATGGCATTTATATGTATACAAATAATATATATTCTTTATATACTGACCTCGTAAGCACCAAATCTTATTGTAGAATAAGTAAGTTGGCGAAGTAAGGAAGCACTAAGTCCATTATATAAAGCTAATATTCCCTGTTTTTCAATTATTCCAAAAGTCGAACGTACTATTGATAATTTGCCTTCTTGCTGAGTTTGCAAATGGACCTAGAAAATTAAGATTTATGCAATCATTCAATCTTAAATCTCTACATTTAATAAAAATCAACATTTATTAATAATTAAAAATACTAAAGAGAAAAAGATAATGATAAAAAAAAATAAAAATAATTATTTTTTATGAAAAATGTTAATATCCAAATATTGATTAGTGATGTAATGATGTAATGATATCTATTAATAAATCATTTTTACTGACAACTATAAAAATAAGCTAAAAAATAAACCGAGCTAAGAAAGTGTAAATAAAACCTTCAGTAAATCCAAAGGATGAGTCACACATGCAGCAGCTGCGGAAGAAACACCACCAAAATACCAACGTGATAATTTCTTACTTTTATCAGCCATTGTTTATCTAGCTTTTCAACTTTATAAATTAAGTAGCAACTAGGAATATATCTATTACACTGCATAAACAGAAAAAAACTGATTAAGATATATACATATAAATTTTTATTTAAAAAGTGTATAATTAATTCGATTTACCTTTTTTCTATTTAAATTAATAAAACGAAACATTAATATATAGTTTATTCATTGTAGAAACGACAATCGCCATTGTATGTGCACCATTTGTTTTAAAAATAATTTAGTAGAAAAATATATCTGAAAAAATTATAATGTCACACATTAATAAAATACATTATGAAATATAAGAATATGTATATGTATATATAAAAGTCCACACATTAAGAAAAAAATAAATACACATGCATACAAGTATGCATAATTAAAATAACATTTGAATTTTTTCTACAATGCATAATACAACAAATATAAAATATTCCAAAATATTTTTACTTTTTTCTTCGCAAATTTGCTGTATAAGATTATAAAATTTTTCGATTCCTTCATATTAGATGAAAATTTTGACTAAGATGATTATACAAGCGGTGCAAAAATTAAAATCAACAATGTAGCGACCTTGCGATAATGGGAATACCGATTTGCCCAAGTAAACGCAATTACGTGCGATTCTCATTTTTTTGGCATATTTGGTGGAAGGAGACAATTTTAGAACTATAAGCGAGGCTTAGCTCCCCCACTTGCTAAATCTTTTTTAACAAGTGAGAAATCTTTATTTCAAAACGCGCAATAAAAAAAATAAGTAAATGAATAAAAACAGATTTCGAAATCGTTTCATTGGGATTCGCGCAATTCACCATAACTGTTAATTTATAATCGATGCAGATTCAAGCGAATATTAAGTCTGAGTTTTTTTTTTTTAATTAAATTTAAGTAATATATTTACATATTTATGAAAACAATTAACGCAAGATGTTTTTACCGTTTTTTCACGATGATCGTTGGTGACTGCTGACGTCCTCCGATCCCGACAACAGCTGGAACTCGACTGATGTAAGACGTTCTGGAAAAGCGAAGCGCGCCGCGCACGATCAGCTGATGACCACGTGCCACGTGTCATACCACCTCCCATTGATGCTATAGCGAATCCCCAATAGGGCAGATATCCATAAAGGAAGTGGAACATGCTGTTCGCGTTCGTCGTGCAATCTTTTATCACTGCTCGTTTATCAACCGTTTATTGCTAAAACGGGTGATAAACGACTGTCAGTTTACACGATGACTTTGATTGAAATTAGCAAGTCGCGATTACGAAACACCATTATTTTCCTCAGTTGAAATGAAATGCCAACAAAATTGTCGAATAATTTTGCTGTCAAATATGTAAATGTCACATGGTCTAGAATTTCTAGTTTCCCGTGTGGCACTTCGCATTTATGTTTTTCTATAATTTTACTAAAAAATAGTTATATATAATTTTTACTAAAAAATAGTTATATATAATTTTAATTATTTTGTAAACTTAAGTTTTAAAAAAATTTAGAAATTTTAAACACGTATAATACATACAAAAGGAACAATATATATCTCTTAGCAATTATAAAAGATTATTCATAGTTTGAGGTAATAAAATTTCTTTACAAAAGATGCAATAGCACCTAATAGATTTACGAATTTAAATTAATTGAATTAATTGAATTTTCTTTTTTTATATATTTTTGGATTTTTCATCTTCGTGTTTTTTCAAATTATACTTATATATCTATAATGCACCCAGTGTTTGCTATAGATAATTTCAAAATTATCTAGATAAAGATAAAGATAAAAATCCGTAAATTTATCTTAGATGAGATAAAGATGATTTTGCTTTTACTTAATCTAGATGAAAGATGAGATAATTATTGCGATAATCTAGATAATTATCTAGATATTTTTGTTTATTTTAGAAGATTATAAATATTTGTGAAAAATGTGACGCAGATTATAAATGGGATATTAAAATCATAAACACATTCTTTCTCTTCTCCTAAAGAATATTTAAATAATAGCAAAAAGATAATATAAATGATACGATAAATATTTATTTATTAATTTATATTTATAATATATTTATAATATATTAATAATATAATAATAATATATTTATAATATATTAATAATAATAATATAAAAAATATATTTTAGATATTTTAGATAGATTTTTAGAAGCTTGCCTGGAAAACTTTTTTGCATAATAAAAACATCATCTTAGACAATTTTTTGATAAGATGACATATATTTTTCATCTAAGATAAAGATAAAGATACTTTGTATTTCTTCATCTGGTTAAAGATAAAGTGATCCATTTCTTTATCTAGATGATTATCTAGATAATTTTATCTAGATACCAGCAAACATTGAATGCATCAGATAAATGCATCGAGTATATTTTGAGCAATTTTCGTTTGTACGCAAGCATTAGTAGACAGCTGATTATGGCTGTCCTGTGTTTTATTTGTACTATTATAGTAGTAGTACTATTATTATAGTACTCTTACCACATGTAGTACGCCCAAAGTGACGAAATGTATATGAATGATTTTTCAATATCATTCAGTACATAAGACTATTTAAATGGGAATATATATTTACAATAAATTCGCCTTCGTACAAGACACTGACCTTTATCTTGCAACATTGACTTCGAGTGACTGACCTTAAGTGCTAGAGTTTTAATCTATATTTATTCTACAGAAGAGAATTTTTTTTTAAGTGTTTCCAACCTGTCGGTCATCTCACACCTACAGAAGAGAATAGACTCTTATAGGTTATAAAAACACACCACGAGGAGAACCGAGTATAACCCGACGATTTATCAGGTTAGGAGTATTATATGTATAAATCGTTTCTCGTAAAATCTACATAATAATAATAATAATAATAATAATAATAATAATAATAATAATAATAATATTAATAATAATAATTATTATTATAATGATAACAATAATAATATAAATTATAATAACAATAATATAAATTATGATAACAATAATAATATAAATTATAATAACAATAATATGAATTATAATAACAATAATAAATTATGATAACAATAATAATATAAATTATATAATAATGTAAAGAATAATAATAATGCATTTTTGTCTTTCAGTTTATCATGGCTAGTGCAATGGAAATGGTGTGCAACACTCTTGGAATTGACAGAGTAAACATGAACAGTAAAATGATCTTGATCCAAGAGCAACACGGCACCAATGCAAACTTCTTGGTGAATACCATCCTGTCGCACGCTTTAAAGGAGACGAACGCCGTTTGTCTTGTTCTTTGTCATAATACCTTTGGCCATTATCATAATATTGGAATGAGACTTGGCTATAACCTTCTAGCTCTGAAAGAAAAAGGCCAGGTGACTGTTGTCGAGCCAATGAAAATTATAACCACCAATATCGCTGATATGTGTAAGGATTCTATGGATAAGGAGAAAATGATAATCCCAACTGTCGCTTCCACAGAGAATATAGATATTGCGCATAGACTTTTTACATGTGTTAGAGAGAAGTACAATGAAGCGGCGAAATTTGCTGAGCCTGTTGTTTTTATTTTTGACGATATAAATCATCTACTTGATTTTGGCCTCAGTGTACACGGTGTTATGTACTTTGTAAGATATTTAAGATCATTTGTAGCATTACATCCCTTATCACAACTTTGTATTCTTGCACATACATATCAAGATGAATCACAGATTTCAACTACAGATGTAGTTGCTAATGCCTTGAAACATATGGCGCATCTATGCGTCACAACTCAACCATTTAGGACAGGACGCTCCAGCGATGCATCTGGTAAATTAATAGTTCACTGGAGGATAAATTCTGTTAGATTAGAATATCACTGGGCCGAGAAAACAACGCATCTGTTTAAATTATTGGATTGGCAAGTGAAGATTGGTGCACCTGGTGCAGCGTCTGTTTTATCATAATTTTATTTCATTGCTGTATATTTAATTTTTAATAATTGTTTTTCTGAAATAATTTACTGAATTTGTAGATATATTTCTACAATATATTAAAATAAATTAAAAGAATGTTTCCATTCTTTTATTATTAAGAATATAGAAAATCTTTCCTTTATTTTGTTTAATTTATGATACATACTTTATTTCCCATTCTTCGTGTGAGAAAGAATTTAATTCATTATGGGACACAAGTAAATTATTTTCATGTAAAATCTCAAGAAGCAAAGATCTTAGACATACTTCACACAACATACATCGTTGTATATTCAGTTTTTATTTATGTTTTATTACATATATAATGTCAACGCAATTCTTGTCATCGAAAAATAGTGTTTTTCATTTATCAGATAAATGGGCACAAAGCAGAGTGTCTATGAAAAATCTGGTACTTTGGATTATTACAAATTCAGCGCGGAAGAATATGCACTGGTTAAGAAAGTATGGTCAGGCATCGAAATTAACCCGCAATTTCATGGTAATGCCTGTCTCAGAAGGTGTGTAATATCGCGTAAATAAATAAGAAAGAAATTTTATTCTCAAATTGTGACATCAACAAACAATGATTGAGAGAATGGCGAATTTAATATTTACGGTGGATTTTTAGCTTTTGCGAGATTTATCCGCAATACGTGAAATTTTTCACTCAGGAGTCAAAATTGCATTTGAGCTTTGATACACGTATCACGGTTAAGTTTTCAATAATTATGGAAACTATGGGGTATCTTCTATTGGATTTTAATAAGAGGCCGAAACAGTTGGATCGATTAGTCGGTTATATAGCTATGGTGCATAAGGACATGCAATTAGATGAGCAGGATATGCGTGTACGTAGAAAGATTTTCATTATTTTGTCGTCGCGAACGACCCAAAGAACACATTGTAGTCAAAATGACGTCATAATCACAATAGAAGAAATCAAAATTACGATTTTTGGTTACAAAATTTGACGATTTGCTGACGATTATTAATATACGCTATAAATGGATTATTTCTCATTTATATCCAGTGTTTGCTGGTATCTAGATAAAGTTATCTAGATAATCATCTAGATAAAGAAATGGATAATCTTTATCTTTAACTAGATGAAGAAATACAAAGTATCTTTATCTTAGATGAAAAATATATGTCATCTTATCTAAAAATTGTCTAAGATGACGTTTTCATTATGCAAAAAAGTTTTTCAGGCAAGCTTCTAAAAATCTATCTAAAATATCTAAAATATATTTTTTATATTATTATTATTAATATATTATAAATATATTATAAATATAAATTAATAAATAAATATTTATCATATCATTTATATACCTTTTTGCTGTTATTTCTTTATAATATTAAATATTCTTTAGGAAAAGAGAAAGAATATGTGTTTATGATTTTAATATCCCATTTACAATCTGCGTCACATTTTTTACAAATATTTATAATCTTCTAAAATAAACAAAAATATCTAGATAATTATCTAGATTATCACAATAATTATCTCATCTTTCATCTAAATTAAGTAAAAGTAAAATCATTTTTATCTCATCTAAGATAAATTTACAGATTTTTATCTTTATCTTTATCTAGATAATTTTGAAATTATCTACAGCAAACACTGTTTATATCCCCCTAATTTCAAATAATCAATTTAATATTTTGAATTCCAAGAAGGAATCCAGATTATTAAATAAATTATTTTAAATTTGGTTTATTAGAAATTAAACTGATAAATATTAGTGATGCCAGGGACAAGAAGAGAACATTACCCATACGCACACAAGCAGAGAGCTGCTACGTAATTCTCTGATTGTGTGTATGTGAGCATCGTCCTCTTTCTGACACTATTGCTCACAAAAGGAAAAAAACTATAGATCTATACTATAGATAAGATCTATACTATAGATCAGTGCTGGGATTTACTTGCAACTTTCGGCCGAATTTCTTAGCTTACGCCTACTGTTTCCCTCTTACCTCTCGCGCCGCTCGTAACTAAGAAGCGTTCAGGAACGTGTGCGTCACAAATGTAATGTGGCAATCTATCTATCTAAATTCTCTTATTGTAATTACGTTTCAAAACACAAATATTTTAAATTGTTACAGAACATATACGTAATTAATAATAGAATACTTATTTTTATTATTAATAAACAATAAAGAGAACTTAGATAGATTGCCACATAACATTTGTGACGCGCACGTTCCTGAGCGTTCCTTAGTTACGAGCGTTCGGTGGCGCGGTCGCTAAGGAGCGAGCAGTAAGAGGGGAACAGTAGGCGTAAGCTAAGAAATCTGGCCGAAAGTTGCAAGTAAATCCCAGCACTGCTATAGATCTTATCTAATGTTTAGCAGCACTTTATCTATATCCTTTATATACATTCATGATGAAAAATTGAATACGAGTTTAGTTAAGTTCGGTACACCGCGTAGCGGCAAATGTAGAAACTCACTGTATAAATGTATATAAAAATAAGATGATAATAAAAAGGCTATTAAATTATAAAAAATGATCCATTGATGATATCGAAGTGACATAAAGCCATATATATTAATAATAATTTTCAGAAATTTTACGCATACTAAACTTAATACTACTATAATAAATTTGCAAGACAAGCGCAAAGTTATTTTTCCGTCACGAGCAATATATGGTTACTGAGGTCAAATTTTCGTCACATGACTATTTCGAGTCAAAATAGTCATTTTAACTTTTTCTTGATTTTAGTGTGTTCCTTGGGGATATAATAAATTCTTAGGAATTTCAATGAAATTTAAATCAATCACAATCGTCAATAATTTGCCGAATTTTTCGTTTAGAACTTTGCGACGTCCTTGTTTCAATACTTGTCGCGAACATATCCCACGCAAATGACTGCGCAATGTCAGGAAGCGATGTCCAAGTTCATGGATAGCGTCATAAAGGAGCTCTTCGTAAAAATGGAACTTTTCCGCGATTACGACGTCGCACAATCGGGAGAAGCAACGCGATCGAAATTAGTAAAGGACATGTATTGTATAATTTGGCCCCGAAACAATGGCGTTAAATAAAATACCTATAATCGAAATTATTCAAATTCTATCGTATTGTGCCAATTTTATATCGGAGAATAATATACTCTAGGCAAAAAATATATTTTCTTATACTCGTAAGTATTTCTTATAAGTATTTTCTTATAAATACTAGATTTGATCACAAATGTTTGCACTTTCGTTTAAAGATCATATAGAATTATTTTCTATATCAATTCAAAATTATCTATATAAATTTGTGCATAATACATTATTCGAATAAATATATTTTCATTATATACATTCAATATTTTCGACACAATCATATAAAAAAGATAGTCCTCGAGTTTCCTTATAATTAAATTTTGGTATTTATTTTTCAAATATCGCAACTGAACAACCTCTTTATTCTCAAGCTTCTCTTCAATATTCCTTCGTACTCTAATAGTTTGTGAGGACTGAAGATAACGTTTTCATTATTTCACACAGATACGTGAATATTTTAAGGTAGTGCAAGGATATTCATTGAATACGCTTGTTACGGAATAATGTTAAGGAATAATAGATACACAATCAATGAATACGCGTGTATTCATTGATTGTGTATCTATTATTCCTTTCATTCGCGCGGATTATAATCAATCTGATCGATCAATTTCCTCCGATAGCGTAGCCGTGGGGACAATGCCCGCTCTTCGCAGAAGCCCCGATATTTGGTAAGACCAAGTTATATTGGGATGAATGGAAGAAGCAGTGGAATGCGCGGCTGGATGAATGGGCGGCGCAGGCAGCTGCTCAAGAGCAGGTCTCGCTTGAATCGATCTCAAACGACACGAGATCAAGGAATGATCTCGAGGATGAAAATGAGATTACTGGTTCCTTGCAACGAAAGGTCTCCGAATTACGGAAACGACATGATTCGGACGCGTCCGCCTCCAGGCTGGCGGTAAATTATTTCCTGATATCTGATCACCCATACAGCACAGAAGCTTGCATCAACATTGCTGCATTATTATAATATTGCTCACTGCAGTCTAATGTTGCAGAAATAATGCAGAGACATTATTTTGTAATATTACTTTGACAATGTTGTAGCAACGTTTTAACATAGCGAAAATGTATAATACGTTTCTTTGCCACTACGCGGCGACACCCAATTTAAATAACTCGTATTCGAATTCATCTAAAGGATATAAGGTCTACAAAGGATTAATGTAGTAATTATATTTCTTGTTTTGTGTCAGTTTAATTTCTGATAAATTGATTTGGTTTAATATTTTGAATCTTAATGAAGGATCTAGATTATTAAATAAATAATTTGTTGTTATCTCTCATTGGGTTTCAGAATATTAAACAGATTTTTTTCAATTGAATGGGTAAATAGGAAATAGTTCATTTATTGCACATATTAAAATATTCTGGTGTCGAGTGTAAAATAATTGTATGTATATTATTGAGCTAAATATTTAAGAAACATCTAATAAAAAACACTAATAGATAATTTTTTAAAGGCATTTTTTCCTATCCTTCTTAAACATTTTTTTTATATTTTCAAAGTGTATTTATAAAATTTAAAACGGTGTCTGCATTTGTAGAAAAACGCGATTTATATTACAAATACGTTGCACCGTAACATTGCTACAATCTTACATTGCAATATTCCTAAAAGCGGACATTTTAACGTTGTTGCAATCCCACAACAATGGTGCAGCAACTTCTTCCCATGAATTTGCAACGTTGCAATATTGCGGTGAAAGATTGCTGCAACGTGTATGCAATCTTTATGTGCTGTATGGGCATATGCAATTATTTTATGACATATCTGTCATCCATTTTTCCGATCGATAAAATACAATATTTGTTTCTTTTTGGCCTGCTGCGTGTTGCCTTTCACTTGATCGTTTGTAATATCTACCTCTCGATTATTAGCAATATAAAAAAGCGTTTTAAAAGTAAATTGCTTAATTGAGAGAGCAAATGTCTTTATCGAAATATCCTGTAATATTTTTCTTATATTCTAGTAATCGAGATATTTTCGGGATCAGGTTGACTGAAATCTCCTGTATATCATACGATACCACTTTTCAGCTATTAAATCTCTCCGAGCACCAACCAAATCGAACACAAAAACGGGACGCTGATAAACAACGTCATCAACGGCGCGTTTCAATTCAACTTCCTGACCGCCTAAAAGCTACGAAAGCGTCTCGTGCGAGATATCGCGCCAAAAATGACGATGCTTCGAGACCACAAGTCGATATGAAGATACTAAGCAAGGATAGTCCAGCCCTCGGCGAGGCCGTCTCCGAGGATCGAGACAAGGAAATGATCGAGCAGCAGGAACACGAATCATCTGAGATCGCCACGGTTAAACCGCAGAATACTGCTCGCGAGAGACGTCGAGAACGTTTCAATGTCGATCTAAAATAATAAAAAAAGGAAGATTAAAGATACATTTTAAAATATTCAATATAATAGGTTTTTAAAATGATATCTATCATCGCTTTCATATATCACAAATCAAACGCTCTTTGATATCCTATTACGTAAAGTGTGTAAAATGTGAAAAATAAAAATTTACATTTATTTGGTCTTAATTTTTATAAGCTCATAATTATTGCCAAAGATACAACAATAAAAATTAGATAAATATATAACATTTCTTTTTATAAGAATGTAATTAATTTTAGACGAGAACGACAAATATATTCTTAAGGTGCAATTTCATTGACGCTAAAAAGTAGCGCCAATGAAATTGCACCTTTACAAATGGAACAATAAATTCTTACCTCAACTACCTGGCTCGCGATCATTGCTTTTCGTTCCAGAAACGTTGTAATGGTCGTCGTCATTGTGCATCAATCGCATCGAGCTTATGCTGTTGTCGCTCGCAATTCGACGAAGTTTCTTGTCACTGATTTAAAAGAAATGAGAAATTAATAAGAGAAGTTAATTAATAAGAAAGATCAATAAAAGTATATAAAACAAGATATGTATATGTAAATATACAAGAGAGAAAGAATATATAAGAAAGACACAAATTTATAAATATGAAAAATTAAATCTCTATTTTTGAATTAATGAAATACGATTTTATAAAAAACGTGTTTTTCGAAAATGTTTTTTTATATACAATGTACACTCCGCGACAACGATTCGTTCCGTGGTCCCTCTCGCGGGACAAGGAGAGCGTAGCCTCTAACTAATCAGCCACTGCCACGCTGCCAGCTGATTGGTCACTTCTACGCTCCCCTTGCCCCGCGAGAGAGGAGCCACGGAACGAATCGTTGTCGCGGAGTGTACAGGGTATCCCATTTTAATATCCCACCCAAATAACTTTCTTATTTTTAATTTTAGAAAAAGATGTTTCAAACAAAAGTTGTATGGTTTCAAGGGGGACATAAAATGGTGCCATTAATTTGACCTTGAAGAGTCACCTGAAGGACACATGAAGGTCACCTCCAACTTTTTAAATGGGATACCCTATATACTTTAACATATTCTTGTAGCTTGCCTCAATAGCTTTCCAAAATACTATAATAAAGTATTTTTTCATTAAGTACTTTTCGAATTATGAGGCTTAAAATAATATCTAATAATTTTACATAAATCATAAAATATCTAGAAAAAAATTCATTTTTCAATTATCTTACCTTAATACTTCTATGTACAAAATAATAAGAGGAATCGATGGTGTAAAGAAAAAACATAGTTATTTTTAAGAAAAAATATGTAATTATTAATTGCAAATTACATATTTTTTCTCTAAAACAATTGTGTTTTCTTTACACCAATCGATTCCTCTCATTCTTTTGTGCATAAATGTATTAAGGTAAAATAATCGAAAAATGAATATTTTACAAGATATTTTACGGTTTATGTAAAAATAAAAAATTATTGCAAGCCTCATAACTCGAAAAGTACTCAATGAAAAAATACTTTATTATAGTGTTTTGGAAAGCTATTGAGGCAAGCTACAAGAATATGTAAAAGTATATAGAGTATCCCATTTAAAAAGTTGGAGTGACCTTCACGTGTCCTTCAAGTGACTCCTCAAGGTCAAATTAATGGCACCATTTTATGTCCCCCTTGAAACCATACAACTTTTGTTTGAAACATCTTTTTCTAAAATTAAAAATAAGAAAGTTATTTGGGGTGGGATATTAAAATAGGACACCCTGTATAGCATGCAATATTCTATATTACTCGTCATATAAATGAGGTGGAAATTTCTTACTAATTTCGCGCGTTCACCGCCGATATCGGCGGAAACAAGGCGGCCGGTGAAATTAACGGTTGCACTACTGGTCCCATTACGTGCTCCGCTTCCTCTTGTGGTTCGTGAATCGGCGGTAGCGGCGAGTCCCAATCGGAATCCGTGGAACTGTTTTTCCGATTAAACATTTTTTTTATATACAGGGTGGTCCTGAATGTTCCAGCCAGACTTTGAGATCCTATAGGAAATTTAATTCTAAACAAAAAATTTCCTATAAACATGGGTCGAAAAATGCTTCCTTAAGAAGTTATCGCTCAAAAACCTCTGATGAAGCAAGAACAAAAGGTGAAAAGAAAATGAAATAAAAGAAAAATGAAACTAAATAAATTTCTAGAAAAACGTCTTTATTCATTTTCTACTATTACGTGCTATTACTAAAATACTAATTTAAAAAAAAATTATTTTATTTTCATAAAAGAAAAAGATTTTTATTTTTTATTTTTATCATTTTTTTCAAAAAATTTATTTATTTAGTTTCATTTTTTTTTATTTGATTTTCTTTTCACCTTTTGTTCTTCCTTCATCAGAGGTTTTTGAGCGATAACTTCTTAAAGAAGTATTTTTCGACCCATGTTTATAGGAAATTTTTTGTTCAGAATTAAATTTCCTATAAGATCTCAAAGTCTGGCTTCGGGGCCACCCTGTATATGCGTTATCCATTTACAAATATACGTAACTTTTCTTGGATGAAACGAGAATCTAGCTGAAAATTGCTAATTCAGCTATCAGAAAAAATTTACTCTACTTACCTGCTCGCCATTCTCATGTCGCTGCTAAGATTATTATAGCTGAGTCTACTGGATATAGGCGGCAATTTTCCGCGACTGAACGACGACACGGTCGGAGACATGAGATCGCCGAGATTGCTGTTGACATATGTTGCGGTTTGAATCTCTTGCTGATATAAAGCATAAAGATTCTGCAGGTCGGCTGGGAGCGCCAGACGGCCATCTGTCATTTAGATTTCATAAATTAGAAAGTAGAAAAAGTTAATTTTGTAAGAGAAAAATCACATCATAATTTTTCAGATACAATTAAAGGAGAATAGTAGAAATAAAATTTTTTGTGTTGTTTAAAAATAAAAATATTAAATGATTGCAAAAGTCAGTCTCTTTTTTTTAATCGTAGAAAATAAAGAAGAGTTATAAATAAAAGTTATTCAGAATAAGGATGTGAAGAAGATAGTATGAAAGTTTGATTGTTTTCTATTAGAATGTCTACTCTCTGGACGAAGAAAATATAAATTTCTCAGTGATTTTTTGTATCTTGAAAAATCGAATTTTCATGGAATTTTATTAACACTCAGAAAATTTAAAAAATTCTCTTTTTCATAATTTTATTCTCATAATTGCAAACAATCAGAAAACCAAATGAATTATGATTAAAATATATTATAAATATATATCTACCTCTTTGTTGATATTTAATATTTCTAACAAAATAATTCTTAACAAAATAAATATACATTCATATTCTTGATTATAATTTAAAATGATAAAAAAGTAAAAATGTTATGCAAAACGAAAAATGTTTACGAAAGTTTTTAATATTTATCTTTAATACATTTTCAAATCTAACATTTAAACTTAAAAAGCTCTGTGTTTTCTCTTTCTTGTTAGTGAAAAATATTAGAAAACATATACAATAAAAAATTTATTTTAAAAAGTTATGTTAAAAAATTTCTAAAATATTCTCTTTACCTGAAATTTTGAACAAAAATACTTAAAAAATGGAATTTTTTCATAATATTTAGATATTCCGTCTACTGACCTTCCATGATCCGTCGTTGCCTAGTGATGATTTCATCAGAGATCTGTCGCTGTCGGTCATAACGAAGTAGCAGTAATTCACGACGTCTGAGTTCGTGCTGTTTAACCAGTCTCTCACTTTGCAGCATCATTTTGTCTGCTTCGAGCTCGTGAACTCGCAGCATCAGCGCCAACAATTCCCGCTCCTCATCCGAATTGATGCGCGACGGCAATTCCTGAAGAAACACAGGGCATTTTTTTAGATCGAATTTTTAGAACTTTGAACTTAACAACTCGATCGATACGTCATTTTATCGATTCGATATCTTAATTCCGTCGTACTGATATAAATAATACAATAAGAACTTGTGAGTTACAAGCTTTTATAACTTATTATATTTGTTTTTTTCTTTCTTTTTTTAAATTTTACTCGAGATTATGATTAAAATAATAAAAATTACAAAAATATTCTTACGTCCTCGAGTTCAGCACTGCGCTTCCGACATATCTCGAGTTCTTTCTCCGCGACGATGCGCATTTCGGTGCATCTCTCCCGCTCTCTTGTAATCTCCGTCAGTTCCGTCCACGCTTGCTGTACGGCTGAATCGTCTTCCAGATCGTCCTTTAAGAGATCTAAGCGGTCATTGAGATATTGTCTTTACTGAGGAATTTGGCGAACTAGTTTATCAAATTAATCGATATTTAGTAAGTTCTTGTGAATTTAATTTTCTGTTTATTTTTTGAAATCCTTTCAAAAAATCCTATATTATTTATCAAATCAATTTTTCAAATGAATAGTAGAAAATAAATTCAATTAAAACTAAAAAAATACTTGCTCCTTGAAATTAAGTATTGCGTACATAATACATAATATATGTATTTGGAAAACTTATATAAATATGATAAAAGTTAAAAAAATTAGTTTTCTTAGCGATAGTTTAACTCTTTAATTTACAGTAAATTTTTTTTCAGTAATAATTAATATCTATCTTTTCTATATTATATTATGTCAGTAAATTTTATCTCAAAATTCGCTCACCCATGTCATCTATTTCATCTACTTGGTAATCCGTGCTTGGACGATCTGTCTCGGAATCCCGTGTTTTTCCATAAACCCTATTATTTTTCGATTCCCAATGCGAGATTATGGAATGTTGCTGTTCGGCGGCGATATTCAAACTCAGAAGATGACTGTCTAGTTCCATTAACTTTCTCCTATTATAAATTAAACGATTGTTATATCTTGAGCTCTATTTATCGAATAGCAAAGTATTTTGACGAGAAATTTAAAATCAATTTATTAATTATTAATCGAAATAAAAGATAAATTTTAAAATTTTATGCAATGCCTATTATCTTGTTAATTTAACGTCTATTATAATTTCTTCGCGCATACGTACCTCAGACGCATCTGTTCTTTAAAAGCGAACACGATCTTTTCTCTTAACGATCTGAAATCGTTACCGTGTGTGTTATCCGACATTTTCTCTTCTGTTTCCATTCTCTTTGGCCTGTCGCTTTTCATCTTATTTCGCAGACGAGATATCTCGTTTTTCAAATCGCTAATTATATCGCGATACTGCGCGACGTGTAAATAACTGACGTCCAACACGTTCTGCTCGACTTTGTTAGAGATTCTGTTGGCACGATCCGCGTACATCAGGGTATTCTTGCTTTCGTCGCGATGCGCGCTAGCCGGCGACACGTGGACAATCATGACAGTTCGACAATTGCCACATAGGGCATCCTTCAGCAACCGCGTAAGCTTAGAATCGCGATAATTCACATATCGCGCACCACCGGCCAGCGCGTTGATGCAGTTACCTAACGCTAGAAGAGATCTATTAATATGCGCGCCCTCCTGCAGCCTTTTGCCCTTATTCTGCAACATTAAATTGAATGAAATTTTGGCAATATTTTTTAAATGTTATAGAAAATAAATTTTGGAAAACGAAAGATCCCATATGGCACAGAAATATTGCAGCAACATTGCAGAAATATTTCTTTGCAAGATTGCAACATTGCAGAAATGTTGCAAAATGTTGCTGCAATGTTGCTGCAATATTGCAGCAACGGTAAAATATCCGCTTGTAGAAATATTGCAATGCAATATTGCAGCAATGTTACGGTGCAACGTATTTGTAATACTAAAACGCGTTTTGCTCCAAATGCAGACACCGTTTTAAATTTAATAAATAAACTTTGAAAATATAAAAAAATGTTTAAGAAAGATAGGAAAAAATTAAAAAAAAACATCTGTTGGTGTTTTTATTAGATGTTTCTTAAATATTTATCTCAATAATATTACATACAATTATTTTACATACATTCGACATCAGAATATTTTAATACATGCAATAAATGAATTACTTCCTATTTACCCGTTCAATTATATAATAAGGAAAATCTGTTTAATTATTCTGAAACCCAATGAAGGATCCAGATTATTAAACAAATTATTTGTTTAATAATCTAGAATTGTTTAATAATCTAGATCCCTCATTAGGATTCAGAATATTAAATAAATCAAGTCAGTTTATCGTCAGAAATTAAACTGACACAAGACAAGAAATATAATTACTACATTAATCCTTTGTAGACCTTATATCCATCTTATATTAGATGAATTCGAATACGAGTTAGTTAAATTGGGTGTCGCCGCGTAGCGGCAAATAAAGAAACACATGTTATACATTTTCGTTATGTTAAAACGTTGCTACAACATTGCCAAAGTAATATTACAAAATAATGTCTCTGCATTATTGCTGCAACATTACACTGCAGTGAACAATATTGTAATATTGCAACAACGTTGCAAGCTTCTGTGCTGTATGGGATTAAATAAATTCTCTCTCTCCCTAGCACATTTCTGCTCAATCTATTCTTACTTCAATGGCAAAATAATAATGTTGTTTCAGACATACCGTGTAATGTTTTCATTTGACATAGAAATAGCACATAGAGGAAGATAAAAAACAAAAATGCTAAGAAGAGGGGAAGTACAAATAACACTTCAAAATGAAATGAAATTTATAAAATAATAATGTTTAAGAGAGAGAGAGAGAATTTCGAATACGAAAACAGTAATTGTAAATTTACAACAAAAGTTGATAAAAATAAAAAAGACTTGTTAATGTTATAATCATAGAAATATAAATAAAAATCAAGGTCGATTTACTTTGGTTTGTTTCGCTCGTTCAGACCCGGCGAGATCGATCATAAATAATTTCCCTTGTTTGATTTTGGTGTGCAGACACTTATCACTATCTTGAATCGAATGAGAAGACTGCCTGACTGTAACACTGAGGAGGGCGTGACTTCGTGACGAGGTTTTATTCGCGGCTGTCGGTTCTATCGTCCTCGCTTTGTTACCTCTGTGTAATAACCGCATAACCTGCGAACGTTAAATTTATCACTTGTTTATAAATTTTTAATCAATTCTTAAACTCGCATCATATATTATGTAAACGGTCATTATACTTCTTCGGTCGAATTAGTGGATATTTCCGTCAATCCTGAAACTTGAATGTTGCGACCGCGGGTGTCGTCGCGTAAATCCAGGTTTCCCGAACTGGGATTCAGAAGATCGCGGATGTTCTCATTGTAAATCTCCATATACGACATTGTTACCTATACAACGGGATAAAAAATGTAAGATGTTTCATGATTATAATTTAAAAAATGACGGAAAGTGTTGGGTATATTGCGCCCTTTAATGTCCATGGCAATCGCCATTGCATCCATTGAGCGAGATACCAACATCGCTCTGGATGCAGCACTTGCATATCACTGTGTTAAAAAGTAGCATTAGGTGTGAGGTCTGAATAGCTCAGTGATCTAGAGCAGTTGCCCGGAGAGCGAAAGATTCGGGTTCGATTCCCGATCCAGCCACTTGCGCCTCACATATTTTTCTAGCCTGCGAATATTGTTTTCTGTTCGCATATTGAAGACATAATAATAAGGCATAACGGGGTAAATATGCATAATAATGGACCCAGCCTCAATCACCTTGACCTTGATCTATTTTAGAATCTTTGTCAAGGTCGCCTAAGTAACATTCAAAAGATTTTAGCCGTCGCTCATTGTTTATTAAAAAGTTATTAACAAAACAATTTTACAATTTTAATGTTTTTTATCTCTGAAAATATTGATTTGAAAAAAAAATTTCAAGCAAAAAATAAAGCCGCTGAAAAACTCTACAAAAAGGGTTATATGCATTTTTTCCATAAACTTACTATTTTAGCTGTTATATAAAAAATTAATTATTTTACATATATTTTTTTATTGCCTTTATATTTCCTATTTTGCATTGAATTCGGATAAACTCTTAATTGTTCGAAAAATGATGAAGATAGTTGAGAAATAATTAAGATTAAGACTTTCATTGAAAATTATTTGCCAAAGAATGTACACATGTTATACAGCGCGTCGATAATAAAAGGATCAAAAAAAATCCAAGGAGATAGGATTTGGAAAAAATTGGAAAGAATTTTTCCGATTCGAGAAACTCACCGTAAATTTCGCGTCGTCCGGTAATTTTTTGGCCGCTAAGAAAATGTCATTCAGAGCACGTACCATGATCCCAGGATTCGATGAAGTTCCTACCATTGTGTATGTTTTTCCCGAGCCTGTCGCACCATACGCAAATACGGTGGCGTTATAACCGTTGAGAACATCTTGTGCTAAATTTTTCGTTGTGGCTTCATAAACTTCTTCCTGAAATAATAACAATGATACATTTTCATAAATATAATAAAAGTATTCTAAAAAGATAAGAAATAAAAGATTTCATATACAGGGTGTCTGGAAAGGTAAAGTCAATCGAATGGGAGGTGAAAGAGGAACATGAGTAGAACATATAATGTAAATAAATTTTTTTCGTATTCGCTATGGTTTAGAAAATATAACGCTTTGTAGGGGTGCAAAAAAGTGAAACCCCTTAATATTTCGAAAAGTACGCATTTTCGAGAAAAATGTTTTATATAAAAATTGTAGGGTTTTAAGTAAAGCATCACACAGAAAAATTAGTACGACTTTGAATAGTGTTCTCAAGATCACGTAAAGATAACTTAGAAATTTCACTTACAATAGACATTTCTATTCAAGGTCTCTATAAAGCGCTGTATTTTCTAAGCCATAGCGAATAGGAAAAAAATTTATTTACATTATGTGTTCTACTCATGCTCCTCTTTCCTATTTGATTGACCTTACCTTTCCAGACACCCTGTATACAGTATTTTGAGTTGACAATTGAAATCAATAAAATAATTTACCTGAGTAGAGTTTTCTCCAAAGATTATGTCGTAAAGATATTGCCGCGGCGCCGCACGTTTCTGTTTATCGCTGTCTTGATCCTCCAGCACCACCATCTGCAAATTCAGTATGAAATATTTTCGAAAAGTTTTTCAAAATTAACGAATGAAATATTTATACTGAAATATTTTCGAAAAGTTTTTCAAAATTAACAAATTGAGTTAAACGTAAATAAAACATAAATAAATATATATTTATTTACTCTAACTCTAGGAAATTAAATTAGCAATAAAATAAATTAATGGATATATGAAATAAATAAATAAATAAATAAATAAATAAATAAATAAATAAATAAATAAATAAATAAATGACACGTAAACTTACTTTATTATTAACAGCGTGCAAACATCTAGTACCGTTTTCATTTTGAACCAAGGGACGAATACGAACGGCGACCTGTCATATCAGAACACGACATTGTATTATCAAGAATACTACACGATAATGATGATTATCTTTTGGGGTCTATGAACGGAGGAACCATCAATTCAAAACTTTTTTATTCATTTGTTATTCTTGTCTGTCATTGATTTATACAAGTTACGAGAGACTTAAATATTACGATCCAACATCGATTTGTTTTTTGCGGAGGTTTTTATTTCACGAATATTACTGTCGAAATCGCGTTGTTTTTGTAAAGTTTTCAAGCTGACATTGTTAGGCTGAATATTTGACGTATTTCATTTTCGTAGAAAGATAATATTATTCATATGTCTAGTCGCTCATGAACTAATTGTTTGAATATAATTATAGCAATCTGACGTAATATTATAAAAAATATAAGAAAATGTTTATAAATTAAGATGATAGATTTGAAAGCATATTTGATGTAACAAAATAACTTTTTGATATACATATATAAAACGTGAAATATATTTAATACAAAATATTAACTTTTTATAATTACTTTACCCTAATACTTTTATAAAATGAATTTTAGGTACAAAAAATTCTATCTTTTATTTTATTTAGAATAATATTGCAGTTATATCTTGCAGATGCATCGATGCATCTTTGAAAAAAATATAAAGATGTAGAATGATCATTTTTGTAGTCTTTTCTTTGATTGTCTTTTCTATTAATTAAAAATAGTATTTTTTTATGTGTTTGCGCGCGATTTCATCAATCTTAAATGAATCACGTACCATGAGTTTCTGCTCCAGCACTCTTCGATCTCCACGATCTTTGAAATCATTTCCGCTGCTGCTGCTACTGCTGCTGCTACAGCTACTATATTGCGTCATTCTTGCACGATGCAATTAATTTACGTATTGTCGTGAAAATTAAGATCAACTGGCTTGACCCTAGTCGGACAATGTTAACGAAATGCGCTCGTTGATTGATTTAAACGTGTTTATTAAGAATTACGTTTTATTATCTACATGTGTATGAAATTCATTACCGTTTTGTAATTCTTTCCACTTTAATCACATCAACACTCATTATCGCTTTTCTCGTCAAATGCGTTTGCAAGTAAACATTCTGTCAAGGATCGCAGTCCTGCAGACTCGGATTTGTACGAATAATTACATAATTCGATAAACTATTGATGGTAAAAATTAAAAAGACTTAATTCCTAAATTGTCAAAACGAAGAAACACAATAGGGAAGAAGGAGAGGGACTATTATTTATAAAAGATTCTTACGATTTATCTTCTCTTATAGTAATGTAAAATACGTATAAGCGTTCTAAACAAGTGATTAAATATACACAATTGATAACTGAATGTGCGTGCGCAATATGCATTTATTCGAACATGTTGGAAAAATAGTCGATTGTAGGTATGTGTTATCGCGACACAGTCAGCCGACTAACTGAAGCACCTGTTCATCTGTATACATGTAAAGGCATCGAGGCCTATCACGCAAGGGGTATATAAGCTATATTTTCGCGTGCCACGACATTCGATCGGAGGATCTGCATTAACAATATCGATATTAATGCGTAATGCGACAAACTGTTGCTGTCACATTGCAGGAAATATTAAAGCGAGAGACCCGTATATTTATAACAATTTACGATAACGTAAAAATATTTATTCGCATCTCGGGATGAAACATCTGTCTAATATTAAAGATTGGAAAATAATTGATATCAATCATGATGGTATATATGATGCAAAGTATATATTGATATAACAAAATTGTAATTTTTCGAGAGATTTATTTTTTGTGCTGTATATTTTTTTTGGAAAATATAATTCGTCCAAAATTATATTTAAATTAATATATATCGATATAAGATTTTATTTTATTGTAAACGATAAATATTTTTATATGATCAACTTTAACTATAACTGCATTTTTCGAAAGAAAAATGTCGTCGATATGAAGGAATTAAATTGGTACGATGACCAAATAACTTTACTTTATTTTATGTCATTATATGCTTAAAGGAGAAGTTTCTACTTGAACTTTTAAACTTAAAAGAAAAACTCGACGAATTTTTTATAAATGAGGCAAACGAGAAGCATATGTAATGTTCAGCTTATAGCTATGGAAGTACGCCCAATTCCATACAACGCAGGACATTGCTGCAATGTTGTGGCAATAGTCTGTATTGTATGGCAATATTAATTCGATTTAAATGGAATTAAAACCTCTCTCGTTCATGAATTCGCATTTCGTTCAACAAGTTGCGTTTTCTTGGTAAAGACCACGATTAATAACGCGAAATGTCAAGGATGAACGATCACTCGAGAAGTTACATTCGTTAACACGGCAATTTCATGATTGCAATTGATCAAATGTGTATCTATAGCATCATATTTAACACCGCTGAATTCTTCTTATGAGTGCATTTTCAATCCATTTTATCGCGTTATCTTAGGGATATATGTATGTATATAAACAATATTTATCTATTTCATATAGTGATAAAACATTGATTGTTTTTTGCATACGCTTTAAAATAAAATATCTCATAAAAAGTTGTGCCAATTATAAAATTTGTATAAATTTCTATTTATAATTTCACAGGCCATATATTTATATTCCGCATATTGACGGTAAATAAGAAAATTTTTTTAGGACTAAAAACAGGACTAAAAAATTCTATTATATTTTTGACACTAAATTAAATACATATATAAGAAGTATATTATTTAAATATGAAATTTTTCGCTAAAGTATTAATTTGAATATAATTCCAGGCTTTCATATTTATATTTTTAGAAAAAAAATATTGTATAAATAATTCTCCTAAAAATAATTTTATAATGTTTCTCATTGCTGTTGATATATATCTTCTGATTCTTTAAATATTCTCTGTATATAACACATGGCGTATAAAATTATAAATAGAATTCTACTTCAACTTTTGATTTGCAAATTATAGACTGTTAAAATACAAGGCTATACTCTTACTTATATCATGCTTTGATGAAAACATCATGCGAATTGTTTAATATACTTAATAGATTTTGCATTAGAATTAAATAAAATAATTTTGTGATTATTTTATGAATGTAAACATTAAGGTTAATTAATTGTTCAACTTTTTATGCGTTATCTATCTCACTTAACTTTTATCACAAATGTCGAGATAGATATTTTGGAATTTTAAGCTTAAAAATCTTATTGGCGTCTTGAAATAGAAGATAGATGTACAACAGTATTTATCCTTGTACATTTATGGTTATCCGTTCCATTATTATTTTCTACGAACGAAAGTAATCAATGCTGGACACAGTTAAGTATCGAGGTCAGCGGGACTGGTTAGATATTGCGATCGATATTTAGGAACGAAGAACATTAAACGAGTATTATGCGGCATGTGGAAAAGGGTTGCTACTTCTGACCTCCAAATAACGGCTCTAGATTATTGATAGAACTAGGAAAATTCGACGGAAATAATAATGAGCTCATCAATCAGTTTCCACTTTATACCGATTTTACAAGGTACTATTTAATAATGTAAAACAGTAATATGACAGAACTGTTTAATGATAGAACGTGAATCAATATGAGAAATTGATCAATTTGGTGAAAATTTAATATAATATTTAACGAGAAAAAAATATAAAGGCAATATCGTACCGTTATTTTTTTCAAGAATGTCTCAAAAAATTCCAGTTGTTTATTTACTCCGCACAAATATATAAAACAATATTATCGTAAGGAATTTACCCGATTTGACGGTTCTCGACCCTTCAAGCGACTGAAAGTGTCCTTCGTTCGAAGTTCTACGTCATTTCTCGAACACATATTCATTTTACCGTAAAGTCGCGCGCGCGCCATCGTATCTTTTTAAAATTGATTGTATCTTTTCGCTCGACACGCACGTGGAAAGATAGGAAATGTTTCGAGGGCAAAGAAGGAAAAAAGAGCCATCGCCCAAGATTTTGGTGATTCATTGTTTCTAATAAAAACGATTTGATTGTACAATATGATATAAAAGAAATGTTAAGTTCCTCTAACATGCGAAGTGCATTTGTATCACGATCAAACTTGATCTCTCGTGTAATGGATGTTATATAAATTACGATATCGATAAAAAATAGCATACATTAATAGATGTTATATATAAATAGATATTATGCATTCTACACTCTTCTAATTCTATTTTATACGATAATTTTGACCTTAATATTGAAAAGTACTGTAATTGCAACTTTATGCAAAATATTTTATTAATTTTTCATTCAAACTGAACTCTCAATCGCACATGTTAAAAAGTCTGTTACATCAAGTCTACATTACTAGTACATACAACATTATTATTACATTATTAGTACATACAAATGTACTATGCATATGAATATCAAATATTTAAAGAAGAAATCAAAGTTTCGTTCTCGTATATTAATTTGAATATAATTCCGAGTAATTTTATTCTTTTAACAAAAAACTTATTGTACTAATTCTAATAATTTTTGAAAAATTGCAATTTTTTACCTTTTTGGAAACGTTGGTTCTGTCCATTTTTTATCATTTACATTATTCCAAGTTTCATTGCATGAATCAAATTGTACAAATCATTACAAGCTCTCAGATCCATATGAAAGACCAATAGAGAATATTAAATATGATGAACGACACAGGAAATACTATCCTGCTGCGTTTGTCGATCCACTGAGCGATCTCTTGCGGTGTCATCGTTGTGAAATTGTGCAACTTGGCGAGAGTCGGTCTGCGTGGAAATGGCTTAGGCGGTGGAGTACCGCTGTCGATGGTCGTGATGCTGCCGACAGAATCCGGACAAGGATCCGGATCCTTATCCTCCTCTATTCTCACCGAAGGAATATTGATCGTGCTTGGAAAACTCTGCAAATGATTGATATTACAATTTTGTCGAGGAAATTGTTTGGGATATTAAGATAATTAAGGTCATACAGCACAGAAATTTGGTGCAACGTTGCTGCAATGTTACAATGTTGCTCACTGCAGTGTAATGTTGCAGCAATAATGCAGAGACATTATTTTGTAATATTACTTTGGCAATGTTGCAGCAACGTTTTAACATAGCGAAAATGTATAACATGTGTTTCTTTACTTGCCGCTACGCGGCGACACCCAATTTAACTAACTTCATATTCGCGAATTCATCTAAGATGGATATAAGGTCTACAAAGTCTATTAATGTAGTAATTATATTTCTTGTTTTGTGTCAATTTAATTTCTGGCGATAAACTGACTTGATTTACTTAATATTCTGAATCATAATGAGGGATCTAGATTATTAAACAAATAATTTGTTTAATAATCTGGATCCTTCATTGGGTTTCAGAATATTAAACAGATTTTTCTTAATTGAAAAATAAATAATAGAAATAATTCCGGGTAAATAGGAAATAATTCATTTATTGCACGTATTAAAATATTCTGATGTCGAATGTATGTAAAATAATTGTATGTAATATTATTGAGATAAATATTTAAAAAACATCTAATAAAAACACCAACAAATGTTTTTTTAAAGGCATTTTTTCCTATCTTTCTTAAACATTTTTTTATATTTTCAAAGTTTATTTATTAAATTTAAAACGATGTCTGCATTTGTAGCAAAACGCGTTTTAAAATTACAAATACGTTGCACCGTAACATTGCTGCAATATTGCATTGCAATATTTCTACAAGCGGACATTTTACCGTTGTTGCAATATTGCAGCAACGTTGCAGCAGCATTTTGCAATCTTTCTGCAATGTTACAATCTTGCAAAGAAATATTTCTGCAATGTTGCTGCAATATTTCTGTGCCGTATGGGAGATCATTTAAAAAATAAATGATGCATTTGAAAGTAATTTCAAGGTCACTAAAATTTAAATAAAGATTTAAAATAAAGATAACTGGTCTCTTTTCTCTCGAAGAGATTATTTTTAAATGTAATTTACAATATTTGGAATTATTTAATTGACAACTCACGTGTACGGTGAGATAATTTTGACTCGTGAAGTCTTGCTCGCTGCTCGTATTTGTATTATCTAATGACGACCACGATCGCGATCGTTCTAATCCGGTTGTATTTTTCTGGAATTGCTTTCGCGCAAGTCGTGGCGTTAAAGTAGACTTAAGGATGTATTTGCTGTTGACCTTTTTCAATGGTACATTTTTTCTGTACGCATAAATATATATGTATATATGACATGTTGTCTCTAGTAATAAGCAGTTTGTATCAGTTAGCTAAAAGCTATGTAAGTATTAAAGTATATAAAAAAAAGTCTTGACAAAGAATATTACATACTTTCTTCGGTATATGGTATTAACGAAGGCAAATTCGACCATCGCCGAGAACAGAAATATTGTACAGCCCAAAAACCAAATCTCACTTGCCTTTATGTAAGAGACTTTCGGCAATGAATTTCCCACTTTCGAAGCAAGCGTCATAAATGTCAAGATAGTATTCGTTCCTGATGAAAATATATAAATCGCACGCGTTTAAAAATTATTATTCAATATACAGGGTATTCGAAAAGTGTAGGACCCTCCTATTATCTCAAAAAGAACGCACTTTCACGGAAAATGACTTGAACAAAAGTTGTAGGGGTCGTAAAGTACTATCTTGTGATGACCTTGAATTTGAACTTGACTTTGGGAATTATTTGTAGGTCAAATTGAATTTTTGGGGGTTATTTGTAGGTCAAATTGAATTTTTTAAATGGAAACCCCTATTTTTGATTCCGAATTTGAAAAGAGCGGGAAATTTTACGTTCAAGTATGTTGTTATGTTAGGGATCAAAGTGACCTTCAGAGGTCATTTGAAGGTCAAATATTTGACAGCCACAAAATACGCCGTTTCCTGCTCTTTTCAAATTCGGAATCAAAAATAGGGGTTTCCATTTAAAAAATTCAATTTGATCTACAAATAACTCCCAAGGTCAAGTTCAAGGTCAAGCTCAAGGTCACCACAAGATAGTACTTTACGACCCCTACTTTTGTTCAAGTCATTTTCCGTGAAAGTGCGTTCTTTTTAAGATAATAGGGGGGTCCCACACTTTTCAAATACCCTATATATTATTAATGAGAGTATGTGTGTTGTGTGTGAGAAGAATAGATATTTTACCTAGAAGTATTCGCGGTGCACTCGCATCTTGATGCAACCAGAAGGATACCCAAGAAATTACTACGATTAATATAGATGGTACGTAATAATCCATCATGAAAAATCCCATTTCGCGTGCTAATTTAAATGTGATATTTATTGAACTGAAATTGCCGGCTGTAATCACATCATATGGTAGCTTTAGTAACAATATGACTTATAGCGTATGCAGTATTTTCTTTATTAAATCAAATTAAATATTCCAATCAATTGAGTCTTACCAAAATGCCCGTAATGATATTGCCACGAGGTATAAGATACTCCAGAGCTATTGGCCCAGGTGTCGACGAGCTTGTATTCCGTTAGATACAAATCGTTCGCAATAACAATCGGATCCTTATCCCAGTCCAATATCATTTCGTTCACATTATGAGTCCCTAATGTAGGAAGAAAAAATCATTCGCTTTGTTCATGCGAGACAAAACTTGACATATATCGCAGAGGGTTGAAGTTTGCACGATGCTTTCTTGCCAGTTGACAAAGTAAAATTAGAAGAGTTTTAGTTTAACTAACACGTCATCTGCACTGGCAGTAGGATTAATGGATTAAAGCTGTAACTTAAGGAATTGACCAATTACAGTCAAGCATTAAGAAAATACTCGACTATGATTGGTCAATTTATTGAGTTACAGCTTTAATGCATTAATCCTACTGCCATTGTAGACGACGCTTAACATGTGCCTGAATAAAGAAAATTGGTTTACTCTGACTTCTTGAAGTGTTGCTTTTTTATACTATTAGCTTATGTTAGTGATACATCAGTTGCTGGACAAAAAAAGCACCGCGTAAATTATGGCTAACTGTATAATTAATGATATAATCGTAGCCTACAGCTTTCGAAGATCAACGGGCATTCCTGCACATCAAATGGGAACTTTTCCAATCGGAAGCCACAATTGAGTGTCGCTTCCAGTCTGAAATTTAAACATACGTTTCTCCGTTTTTTAATCTTTATTTTTATTTAATAATTTAGAAAATTTATATCAAAGTAACATAAATAAAAAAAAATCAAAATTCATTTAATCACTCGATTTTCATTTAACGATAAGATTCGTGATTCTTTTCAAGATACATCATTGAATACCTTGTATTTAAAATAACCGTGCCGTGAGAACTGATGGAGATGAGCAGATCTTTGACGCCACTTCCCATCACTGCTGAAGTACGTTCCTTCGCGACGTATACGGTAGGTGTCCAAATTAGAGCATGAGCGTTCTGACCGCCGTATATTTGAGTCATATAAGGAGCTATATCCGAAAATTTCAGCCGTTTATCAAGATATCGGAACTGCAGCATCAGATGCACGTCAAATTGCTGCAATCATTTATCATTTATTCTGTCTTTATTATCGATTCTCGCGCGGTGATATTTATACATATATTAGACATTATCTGCAGTTTTTGCTGTAGATAATTTTAAAATTATCTAGATAAAGATAAAGATAAAAATCCGTAAATTTATCTTAGATGAGATAAAGATGATTTTGCTTTTACTTAATTTAGATGAAAAATGAGATAATTATTGCGATAATCTAGATATTTTTGTTTATTTTAGAAGATTATAAATATTTGTAAAAAATGTGACGCAGATTATAAATGGGATATTAAAATCACAAACACATATTCTTTCTCTTTTCCTAAAGAATATTTAAATAATAGTAAAAAGGTATATAAATGATATGATAAATATTTATTTATTAATTTATATTTATAATATATTTATGATATATTAATAATATAATAATAATATATTTATAATATATTAATAATAATAATATGAAAAATATATTTTAGATATTTTAGATAGAATTTTTAGAAGCTTGCCTGGAAAACTTTTTTGCATAATGAAAACGTCATCTTAGACAATCTTTAGATAAGATGACATATATTTTTCATGTAAGATAAAGATAAAGATACTTTGTATTTCTTCATTTGGTTAAAGATAAAGATGATCCATTTCTTTATCTAGATGATTATCTAGATAATTTTATCTAGATACCAGCAAACACTGATTATCTGTATATAAAATATAAGATATGAGTAAAATTGCACAAGTATACCAGTTTGGCCATGTTTGATTTTATTGTGTAAATAAAGGCTTTTGTATAAATCTTGATCGGGTCCGTGGTGTTAATTACTCCCGGTGGCCTGACCATTTTATCGTAACGGCATTCGTTCGCTAATTCTTGCAAAAGTTCCGTTTGTGTCATGGAACTACTGAACGACGGGCAATTTCCGGATCTGTAATAAATTCCAAGTTTTCTTTAAAACGCGCGTTAAGTGTCAACTCTATCTTTAGAATTTATTAGATGTATATTTTAAGCCGAAAGACATGCGCTTTCTCATATGATTGCGCGATTTTAACTCTCGAATAAAATTTAGGAATCTCTAGTAAAAATTTGCAAAAGTTTATGTAGCAAAAAAATGATCAATCATGAACAATCAAATGAACAATCTCGATAAATTGAGCATTAATAAAATAACTTGAGATGTCTCTAAAAATTACTCGAAGAAGGAAGGTATTTGAAAGGAGAAATAAATTATTAAAAAGATATTAATAATAAGGATATAAAAATAAACAATGAATGCTTAAATATTCTTTGCTAAAAGATATTTTCTATTTAAAAACTTAGAAATATATTCTTTGGAAAAGAAATGCATAAAGTGATTTCAAATAGTTATAACTTTTTGAACTAACAGGAAGTACATATAACAGCTTGCATGTGATATTAAATACAGCAATTGTAGCGAAACGCGTGTTATAAATAGTCTACAGATCTAGAAAAATAGTTTAAATTAATATTCTACACCTCGTCTCTTTGCACATGTGTTTTCTATTATTGTCATGTATTGTTCATTAGTAAGTCATTGTATGTATTGTCCATCAATTCTTTATATTGATGTAAATGTTATATTACAGATGACATTGGCTACAGATAATTGTGCACTGAAACAAATTTTTTTGTCACTTGATGCGCATATGACCTGCTCATAAGAACTGAGTATTTTGCGGTTTGTCGCTAATCGGTTTATTATAAGTCACTAATCTAAGTTATAAAAGTTCGACGCGTTATCAAATTCCGCGAAATAATAATTGTGTTTTTCACAAGCATGCATTGATCTATGTGATTAAGATTTTTGCAGAAATTATTATATGCTTCAAGTGTGCACGTGCTTCATTCGTAAGACGATGCACAAAAGAACACCGCCGACTATATTAAGTTCTTATCTCACACTCTGTATGCTGAATTTATAACGTTAAATATCTTCGTCAAACATCTTGTTTATATAAGATACCAGCATATTTATGTGTTCCTATGGAATTGTATGTACCAATCGAGATTAGGATTAAAATTCTCTCTAACGTTATACCGTATCATAAGATATGCAAAGTGTCACAAGGTACATGCTGAACAATAAATATTTGTACAGATATTATAGTTTCAGTTACCGAAAAATAATCGAGGAAAAATCGATTATGAATCATAATATTTTTGAAAAATATATTGTAAAATCTCCAAAAAATCTTTAAAAATATGTTTTCAATGATCTAAAAAAAATGTTCTCTATAAATTTTATACTTTATTCCGTGTGTACCTCATAATATACGAGATGCTTTATTTAATTTTACTATTTAATATGAACATTTTTCTTATTAAAAATATAAAAATGTTTCGAGAATTGAAAAGTTATTTTAATTATTTTAAAAAGAACATTTTTTATAATATAACTTTGTTCTAGAAATCAACTGATTAAGAAATCATTTTTAGCTATTTTAAATGATTTATATATATCATATATAATTTCATGATTTATTTATTATTATTATTAAAAATATCGGGGCGAAGTCGCTGAATCGAGAATCGAACCCGGGCGACTGCTCTTACCACTGAGTTATTCAGCCCCACACGATATTTTTCCTGTCTACATCTCTTCAGGGGGGTAAAGAGGGTGTTATAGAAGTCTCAAACCAAGAGAATCTATAACTTGGCATATACACCAAGTAAAATATATGTATAAATGTCTTGTGCACGTCTTAATAAAAAAAAAAAAAAAATTTTTTTCGCGAACAATTAATGTTTGAAAAAAAAAAAAAAAAAAAAATTACGCAATACGATCCGCGTTTTTAGACTCTTATTGCTCGTTTTATAATTATCATGTTGTTAAATACATAGAGCCGTATTCTTTATCAATTTATATATATATATATATATATATATATATATATATATATATATATACAGGGTGTCCCAAAAGTCCTGGACCGGTTGAATATTTCATAAATTATGCACTTTAGAAAGAAATGTTTCAGACAAAAGTTGTATGGCTTAAAGGAGGCCATCAGATAGTGGCAATGATTTGACCTTGGAGAGTCATTTGAAGGTGACGTAAAGGTCACCTTCAATTTCTTAAATGGAACCCCTATTTTTTATTACATATTCGTGTAACTTATCTCGAGAGCTTTCCAAAACACTATAATAAAGTATTTCTTTATTGAGTACTTTTCGAGTTATGAGACTTGAAATCATTTCTTAATTTTGCATAAACCATAAAATATCTAGTAAAATATTCATTTTTCGATTATCTTACCTTAATACTTTTATGTACAAAATAATGAAAGGAATCAATTGGTGGAAAGAAAACACATAGTTGTTAAAAAAAAAATGTAATTGTTAATTGCAAATTACATATCCGGGACTTTTGGGATACCCTGTATATATATCTATATGCTAGTTCTTTATTTATTAATTTATAAATTTCTATTTATTAATTAATCTCTTTTATATTGATATTATAATTATCTTTTTAATTGACAATTTTGTTGTATTTTATTTTTTTAAAGATATTTTTTTAGAACAAATAAGCTATTGAAGCTAGTAAACGCAATAATGATGAGATTCGCGATGAAGAGCGAAAAAGATTGATGAAAAGACAAAAATTAAATTTAAATGCTGATATTTGAACAAGTGTGATTTGGACATGATGTTTTACTGTCAAAATAAGACAGGTTTCTTCGCGTGCGTGCAAAAAACGTATAATAGTTCTCTGCAAGTATTTTGTTAATGATTTTTCTTAAACTTGTCTTTTCAAATTATGACGAGAAGAATTTTTGCGTTGTTATAAAAACACTCTTTCGCTACGGAATAATTTGCATTACTCTAATTAATTAATGATACTGGTGGTTGATCGTATTTATGAGAACCCTGAAGGTCGAATGTTATGCGCTAATAACTTTGAAAGCAGCTATAAAATTTCACAAGGCTAAAAATAATATTACGCGAATTTTACCTTATGATACCATATTTCCTTGTAATCTAATACGTATTAAAACAGCTTCAGGTTTACGTAAAAGATACATTATTCGCGGATAAAACGAGAATAAGAAAAACAATAAATGGCATTAACATATTTTCTTTTTCCTCTTCATTTTATACTATTTTACAATGTACAAAACCCTTTAGATGATGATGAAAAGCAATGAGACATCCGCGAGCAAGTAAACTTTGCGGTTTAGCAAAATTTATGAAGCATATATTTTATAAGAATCACTAACAACGTGACATTACCCAAGAGCTACTCCGCATGCAGCGAATCATCTTGTTTCTTGTAAAAGTGTTTATTAAGATTTTGTTATTAATTTGTATTGTATTTAAATAAGCTAGCAGGAAAAGCGCTTTCGTTGTAAATTTTGATATTTTTTATCCGAATACATATTATACAATGCATATTGAGAAATATGTATTATATATATAATATATATTATATATTAAATAATTTATTAAATATTAATATAATATATTAATATTTTATTTAATATAAATATTATATATTAAATAATTTATTTAATATTAAACTGTAAATATGTGTAAATGTGTGTACGAATATATAAATCCTAACATTGGCACATTTATTTAATGAATAAGACGAGTATATTAAATTCTTGCATTGGAATCACGTTTCTCAGACCACTTTTCGCAAACCAAAGATGTCAAGCACGTAGTTAACTAATTATAATTTGATAACGAACAAACTATGTGTGAAACGTTGGTATCTTTGATTCGCGAAAAATACATTTGAGAAAATGTGATTTTAATGCAAAGAACTAATATATAAAAAATATATATTTTTTTAACATATCTTCAATATGCATTCTGGACAGCGCGCATTTCATGTTTACTTTCGGTTACCGGCATAATTTAGTTATTTAATATTTTTAATATTAATTTTTAAGTTTTTAATCTTTAATATTATTTGTTAATTGAATTTTTTTATATTACTAATGATGTAGAATACAGCTTACACTGTGGTCGCATTTGCGAACGATGATAACTGCAACAGATGAACGAAGAACGCCAAAATAAAGATCTTTCTTCCGAGAATCATTCTTAAATTTCCTTCATCACTTAACTGTACAACTAATGAATTCCGACTGATCTTTCTTTGTAACTCGCAAGTGTACTCCGGTGAGCAAATTTGTTGGAAACCAGACGCCCAGACAAACCTCACTCCCACTCTCTCATGGTGCTCCTCCGGACTCGTTTGAATTATACATGTATTTTCCGAGGTAAGTATGTGAGATCATACATACATACATACACATACATATTCATTATATGTTAAGGCTTATAATGTTGTATAGATTCTTGCAGCTCTCATCTGTAGTGTTGTGTAATTTACATATCGCTGTCTAACACAATGCATTAATTTAAACGCGCGGCTTTAATATCAAATATCATTAAACGGTTCACTGCTTCCCGGAACAATCCGTCTAATGTGTAGTTATTTACTCATGAAAAAATATAATGATTCATGATTCACATTTCTATGTAATGAAATTTTTCTTATCTCCCTCCTGAATTTGTAAATTTTATCATGATACGATTACGCATGCAGATATTTATATCTCATATTCATTTTCGTTTTAAGCACTATTATTGTACAGTTTACTATAAAAGTAATCACTTAAAAGTATAATTTGTAATTAAACATAAATAATGACCTAATAAAAAATCAGTCACAATATCCATATGAAAGCTAAACTTATAAAAAAGACGAAATTTGTATAATTTATTTTTACATATACTTATGTAATATTATATACATATAATATATACAACATACATAATATATGTATCATGTAACTTAATTAGTGTTAATTGATACAATATCAGGTTTCATACGATTAACAGTATATGTTAATAAGTGAAGATCTTGCAAAAGTTTTGTCAATCTTTTAAAGTGTCTATCGGTATAAGGTATCATAGTTTCTAAAGTAGAAGATAAGCCTGGTATCTGTAGTTCCTGAGTCCCGATTTCTGCCATTACAGCGTTTATAACTATCTAAAAATAATAATAAGCAAAAAAAGTACAAAAATTATATATATGTATATACATATTTCATTTCGTTAATTAAATGAAGATTTTTCGAAAGTAATTGAGTAATCGAAAAAACCGGTTACAACATGTTTAATTAAATAATTATATCTCCGTTAAAAACTAAAAATTTTTGTAAAAATCTCTAAACTTTTAAATATTTAAATAACTAAACTATATTAAATCTTATATCATACCTGAGCAGCATGCGAATTCCGGCTGTTTGTATTCCATATAATTGCGCACTTGAGTAAGGCTTCTTTGCGAGCTGGTTTTAATTCTTTTATTATTTCTACAAGCTCGTTATCTCTTTTTTGCAATATAGCTGTTATAAAAGAAATATATTTTATATATTTTATATTAAACGTATAAAAATAAAAAACAGGCTAAGTATATAAAAAATATCTATACTTGTATGCAACACAAAAAATATTTAAATAATTCAAAAAAGATTAATATGATAAAATTATATTATTTTATATAATATGAAACATATATATGATATTGTTATAATGATATGATAATGTTATAAATGTAATATGTAATATAATAATATAATAAAATATAATATAATAATAATATAATATAATATAATATAATAATATAATAATAATATAATAAAATGTAATATATAAAATGTTATATGTAATATAAAAGTGTGCATTTATCACATACTTTTGTATCATCTGATATTAACATCACAACATTAAATCAGGTACGATACATAATGATATATTAATTGCTATTCAATATAAGTAGTTATACCTTCTATAATTTTAAGAACTTGCAACGGGCGTTCCATTTTTAGAGCCAATCGCAGCGCAGCTTGAAGCTCTTCAGCTTTTAGTAAATTGGTCAACTTTTGCTCTTTAAACACGAGCCGCTCTTTTTCCTTTGCAGCTTGCACCTTCTTCTCTTCAGTTACATCTCTCCAAATGATTAGCAATGAGTCGCTACCTCCGCTGATGATGTGTTTTTCATCTTTAGCAACTAAAGAAAAAGACATTACATGTTTAATTATAAGAATATCGATTGTTAGATATTCTTACATGAGTAGATCAGGTATAGACTTACCCACAAGGGTCCAAACATGACTTTCATGTTGGTCTAAAGTAGATATGCACTCAGATGTTTTAATATTCCACAATTTTAACAGACCATCTCCACCTGATGTAATTAACTGCATACCATGTGACAGGAACTCTCCCTTTAAAACGGAGGATTCATGTCCTTCAAAGGTCTGTAATAAGAATAAGAACCAAGATATAATAAAATCTACGAATGTGCAAAATTTATTTCTCTTTCTTTACCTTTAGACAATTGAGTTCTGTCAAGGACCATAATTTCATTGTACAATCGGCAGATGTTGTTAAAAGCACTTGATCAACTGGCGAGAATCGAACGCACCATACGCCTTTTCGATGACCGTGAAACACTCCGAGTAATTGCAAATCTTCAGCAGACCACAGCTATAAATACAGTAGTTATTATATTATTTCTAAAATGTAACACATATAATCTTAAAATTATTTATTGCACATGTATAGCAAGTTTGCAATAATACCTTAACAGTTTTATCTTGTGATGCTGTAGCAATTAATTTATCATTCGGCGAAATGGTTACACAGTTCATTTCTTTTTGATGTGCTAATATCGTATGGCTTATGTTTAATGACAAATCTTGCTCTGTAAATACCAATAATTATTTTGCATTTATCTTATTCTCTATCTTATATATATATGTGTGTGTAATATGCAGAGTGCTTCATTTTAATTTCCCCAGGTAAATATTTCGGAAAATAATAAAAAATCGAAAAAATGTTTCAGACAAAAGTTGTATTGTGTTTTCTTTACACCAATCGATTCCTCTCATTATTTTGTACATAAAAGTATTAAGGTAAGATAATAGAAAAATGAATATTTTACTAGATATTTTATGGTTTATGCAAAATTAAGAAATGATTTCAAGCCTCATAACTCGAAAAGTACTTGATGAAAAAATGTTTATTTATAGTGTTTTGGAAAGCTCTGTTCCATTTAAGAAATTCGAAATGACCTTCACGTAACTTTCATGTGACTATAAGGTCAAACTAATGGCACCATCTTATGTCCCCCTAGAAACCATACAACTTTTGTCTGAAACATTTTTTCGATTTTTCATTATTTTCTGAAATATTTGCCTGGGGAAATTAAAATAAAACACCCTCTGTGTGTGTATATGTGTATATATATATATTTATGTTTTCTTTTTAACATACTATGTGATTCGAGATTATTAGATAATTCCCATAATTTTAGGCATGAATCTTGAGCAACTGTTGTAAAAAATGTAGTTGATATTTGAGATATAGCAACAGAACTGATTGATGCTGTATGCCTAATAGCATGTCCAATACAAGACATTCTTGTTGTTTCTTTATCAAATAGCCATACACGAACACTATTATCCTATAAATAACAATTTTGTATATATAAGTGTTAATTATTATTATAATTATTATAATTATTAATATTGTTAAAAAACTGATACCTTAGCTGATGATATGAGTAAATTTACATTCGCCGGAGTCGTAGCTAAGGCCAAAACACTATCACTATGACCACACAATAATTGACAATTCATAGATGCAATATCGTAAAATTTTATGTCGCAACTGTTAGTCGCGAGTGCAATGTGACTGTCATTAGCTCCAACATATGCAACATCTAGAATTTCGTCGCTATAACCTACCAACTGCCATAATTAAAAAAAAGGTATTAATATTTACACAAAATTATTTTCAATAGAATTTGATGCAAAGCACACTAACCTGCTTTTTGCATTCAAACAATTCTAATGAATGAATGATAATATTATGATCGACAGACACTACTGCAAAAATCTTATGAACATTATTGTAAAGTAAATGGGTGATTGATAAACTCCCTTCTTCCTTAGCTGGTGATACCAAAGAATTGTCTTGCGTATAAATCAGCTTGCCTGACTTCATTTCCCAGATTTTAACAACGCCTAAAAAAATTTTTAATATTAAATTGCATTTTCTTATATTATTCGTGTATTAATATATTAAATTTGAATTGTTAGTACCTTTTTCACCACCTGAAGCAATATATATATCATCTTTTCTGTGTAACTTAATAAATGCTGGTAATGACTTGAATGGTATTATAAATGCTCCTTCTATTCCTTCATATACTGGTAAAATGCGTATTGATGTTCCAGATGATATGTCCCACAAGATTAGTACTCTATCTCTTCCTGAACTGTGTAGATTATTATAGTATTATGGTAATTTTACTTACACAATAGATTTTAAAATCTCTTACCTAACTAAATAATTTTCTTTTTCATGGAAATTAAGAGATGTAACTTTGCTAAAATGTCCAGATAAAGTAACCATTTTTTGTCCAGTATTAATATCCCAACCATGAATCTTTGTGTCATCACCAGCGCCGAAAAGAAGTTGTTTTGTAATATCTGGATGGAATTCTAATACACTAAATATAATAAAAATATTGATATTAATTTTGAATATTGGAGATTTAAAAATGTATCATTATATATATATATATATATATACAGGGTGACCCATTTTAACTTAGGCAGCCAAATAACTCGAAAAATAAGCACACTACGAAAAAATGGTTAGAATCAAAATTTCGTCATTTCGAGGGGGACGTACAATGACGAGCTTTGGAAAGCTCTCGAGATAAGCTACAAGAATATGCAATGAAAAATAGGGGGTTCCATTTAAGATTTCAAACTTGCCCCCCCTCACCGCCCAGGGGGAGGGGTGGGGGGGCTGATTTTAACGTCATTGTACGTCCCCCTCGAAATGACGAAATTTTGATTCTAACCATTTTTTCGTAGTGTGCTTATTTTTCGAGTTATTTGGCTGCCTAAGTTAAAATGGGTCACCCTGTATATATATATATATATATATATATATATATATATATATATATATATATATATACAGAGTATCCCAAAAGTCCTGGACCAGTCGAATATTTTATAAACTATGCACTTGGTGTAAACAAAACAACTATGTGTTTTCTTTACACCAATTGATTAAAAAAAATATGTAATGGTTAATTGCAAATTAACCATTAATTATATTTTTTTCTTAAAAACAACTATGTTTTTTTTCTTTACACCAATTGATTCCTCTCATTATTTTGTACATAAAATTATTAAGGTAAGATAATCGAAAAATGAATATTTCACAAGATATTTTACGGTTTATGTAAAATTAAGAAATGATTTCAAGCCTTATAACTCGGAAAGTACTTAATGAAAACTAACTTAATTGTAGTATTTTGGAAAGCTCTCGAGATAAGCTACACGAATATGTAATAAAAAATAGGGAGTTCCGTTTAAGAAATTGACGGTGATCTTCACGTGACTTTTAAATGACTCTCCCAATGTCAAATTATTGTCACTATCTGATGGCACCCTTCAAGCCATACAACTTTTATCTGAAACATTTCTTTCTAAAGTGCATAGTTTATGAAATATTCAACTGGTCCGCGACTTTTGGGACACCCTGTATATATATATATATATATATATATATATATATATATAAATTACCTAGTTACTCCCTGCAGTCCTTTGAAATGATGTGTGCAAGTGTGATGTTGCAAGTTCCACAATCTGACAGCACTATCACTTCCACCAGATGCCATTAAGACATCATTATTTGAAAAAGCTATTCGTGTTACGGGTCCTCTGTGGATAGATTTCCATAATTTTATCAATTTATTATCTATAATTGACAAGAAAAGGAAAAAAAATGAATTAGAATTCTAATATATGTTTATGCTATAACCAGAGTTGGGAAGTAATACATTACTTGTCGTTATTATCATTACCATTACTTTTTTTCGGTAACGATCGTTACTTTTTTCTGTCTGTAAGGTAATGATAATGCCATTACATTTTTACAGAAACGGTAATGAATTTAACTGTTACTTTTATCATTACTTTAATTCTGTAATCCTGGATATTATACCTTTAGTAATTGAAAAATCTATTCCTATTATAAAAGTTTAAAAATATTTTGGAAAATTATATATATGCATGATGTTTTTCTCTGTATTCATAAATCTAAAATTTCTAAATTTCAATAAATGAAAAATTGAATATGAAGAACATCAATAATGGAATAATTTATATAATTGTTGAATATATAAAATAATTATATTTTAAAATCAATTATCAATAAATTAATAAATACTATAAAATAATAATTATATTTTAAAATAAATTAATTTAATTTTTGTATTAAAAAGTAACGAAAAAGTAACAAATCATTACTTTCTTAGTAATGGTAATGGTAATGAGTTACTTTTCAAAATTAGTAACGAGTAATGGTAAAGCATTACTTTTTTAAAATAACGTTCCCAACTCTGGCTATAACATATCCAAACTTGTTCTAGAACATATATTAAATTTGAATTTAAATTATTACCTTTCCAATCCCATAATTTGAACAATCCACTTTTGTGGTGAGTAAGTATATTCGTGTCATCATTACCAAGAGCAAAACAATTTATTGTGTCCTCCTGTTGATTAGCTTCTACCTCACCCAATGATGATATCACAGAGCTTTTGCTCACAGATAGTATCGAAATAGTGCCTCCTTTTTGACAGAATAAATACGCCGCATCTGCACTCCACTGTAAGATGAGAGGATTATGTCGTGATATGCACGTGATAAAATAGAAACATTTTTTTTTCGGAAACTTACTTGTATATCGCCACCGGTATAAAATGCTCCATGCTTGCATTCCACTTCAAATCTGTAAATGTACATAATGTTATTATCAAATATATGGCACAGAGAAATTATAAAAAGGAGAGTGAAATATACATACGCATATTCTCTTACAATACATTGAATAAAGTAATACTTACGTTTCTTTTATGTTCATTTTTAATATTATTCAAAAATACATGTGGATATCAGGGAAAAATCTGAGAGTGGCCAGCCCACTTCAGCGGACGCATAGGCATAGTATATCCAGTGGGTCTGTTCTTTTCAGTTGCACTGCTGCAGTGATGGTAGGCCGGGCGATTTTTTCGCGCATGCGCCGCGAATGCGGCGTTAACGAAGTATCTAGTAGAAGTAAAAAGTATATCACTCGTTGCCCTTAAATAAATTTCTGAAGGAAAATTTTTAGAAAATTTTTACGAGCGACCAACAGCACACTTTCAAATCACTAATCACTTTTCTCGCTGTACTTTAAAACACTATAACATTCACTCGGGACTTCTTTCTAGCATCACCGAGCTCAGCTTGCCCGCCAAAACTTTGGCGCCCATAATCCGCTATCTGATACACCGTTGCTTTCCTGTGATTACTGCGCATGCGCAAAAAAATCTCCCGGCCTACCATCACTGCACTGCTGCACTAGTGCAATTAGTTAGAGTGAAAGAAAGCATGTTCGTCTTTTTCTAACTTATTGCACTAGTGCAGCAGTGCAGCTGAAAAGAACAGACCTAGTAGCGCAACTCCCTAAAATTTGTGAAGTCCAAAATGGAGTGCGCATGCGCGAAGTTAGTGAGTAATGCTATCTGGACTTTTTTCTCACGTTTTCTCCTTCACTTCATCGGCCACATTCAGGCCGGTATTCATAGTCCGATCTTATATTTAAGATCGTCTTAGGCCGGTATTCATAGTCCGATCTTATATTTAAAATCGTCTTAAGTCTGGTCCGAGGTTGACGTAAGACCTCATTCAACCAATCAAATAACTGCGTAGCATTTCAAGCTCGAACTTAAGACGATCTCAAATATAAGATCCGACTAGAGAACCTCTAGGAGAGAGAATGGACAACTGATCATGTGACATGTGATCAAGCTTTTTCATGATTGGCTGGCAGAAAATGTATCAATTTTAGCTATTGCGACGCCAATGCAAAATATGATGACACACAAATAGGACACACATGACACACATATATTAACCTATTTGTGTGTATCATATTTTGCATTGGCGTCGCAATAGCTAAAATTGATACATTTTCTGCCAGCCAATCATGAAAAAGCTTGATCAGTTGTCCATTCTCTCTCCTAGAGGTTCTCTAGATCCGACTATGAATACCGGCCACTAGATGCTCGGTCTATACTTACTATGTCTATGGTCATCATAGAGTCATAGACTGCTACATGTGTTGGCTATACGATATTTCAATAACATTCCAATAATTCTATGATTTTACGATTAATATTCTTCTTTTATAAGTCACAATGCTTGTAAATCGTGCAATTTTACTTAATTTATTATTCGTATATTTTGTTTTTGGTGGTCCTGAAGAAGAACATGGAGTAAAATATGCCAATAAATGCGAAGGTGATTTTTATCTTTTTGGAGCAATGGTTTTTCTTTAAGATAGAAATTTAAAGCCTCATATTGTTGGCTTAATATTGAAAGATTATTTATAAATTCTTGTTTAACAGATAGTTACAAATAATAATAACGATTATACCAATTGAAATTAAAAATAACTGTCTATTTACAGTTTGCAAAGTTTTAGCTACTGAACTTGAAGCTAGATTAGATGAAACTGGGAAAACACATGATGTATTAGAGATTGGATATTCAGTAGATGATATTGTGCCAAAAAAGAAAAAAGACTACAAGAAATCGTAAGTATCTCATAATAATTCAGATAATATACAAGATTATTTTGTTAAAAAAATTTATAAATTGCCGTTTTCTTTCTAGAGAATTACGATTAGTAGAATCTATGGAAAATGTTTGCGAACGTATACTGGAATATAATATACACAAAGAACGTACAGATAGTACAAGATTTGCGAAGGGAATGAGTCAAACATTTACGACACTGCATAATCTTGTGTAAGATGCTTTAATATAATATGACCAGGGTTAGGTAATAACTAATTGAATAACTAATAACTAATTGATTAGTTAAAAGTTTAAAAAAAGTTAATAATTTTTAACTCAATTTAGTTATTTTAAAGAGAGTTAACTTTTAACTTTAATTAGTTATTTTTAAACACATAAACTTAAACGTTTTAACTTTCCCCCCAAATTTATTTGATGATTCATATTATTATTATTTAGAGTAATCTAATTTTAAAATTACAATCTAATTTAATATAAAGTGAAATAATGTTTTTCAAAATTTAAACTTTTATCTTAACTAACGTTAATTTAATCTTAATGTAACTTTTATTGAGTTAATTTTTTATTTGTATAACTTTTAACATAAATTAATTTTTTAACCCATTAACATAAATTAATTTTTTATCCCATTAACTTTAACTTAATTTAGTTTAAAAAAGATATAAATTTACCCTGAATATGACATTATTCAAATAATCTAGAAATTAATAAATAGATGATTACAGGGATAAGGGAGTCAAAGTAGAATTGGGTATTCCCTATGAATTATGGGACAAGCCTTCTGTTGAGATAACAACTCTAAAAACACAGTGTGAAGATTTACTGGAGAGTCATGAAGCTGACATCGAAGATTGGTATAATAATCATCAGGGAAAAATTCCTTTAATTAGGTAATGTTCTATTTGATATATTTGTTTTAATAATAAGTAATATTTATACAATTAGTATTAATATAGTTTATTGTTTAGATATTTATGTTCCGAGCGTGCATTGAAAGAACAAAATGATTCTTGCTTGTATGAGAAAGGAGACACTGGGAAAGGTCTCAAAAAACAGGGAAAAAAGAAAAAAAAGAAGTCAAATGATGAAGAAATTACGAATGATAAGTATCAAAAAGTGAAGCAGGAATTATAAAACTGCAAGAATAAACTGCCTCAACAAATACATTCATATAGAATAACTGTTATTAATAGACTAAAGATAATATGATTCTGTATCAAAACAAATGTGGTATATATAATGGTATATATAACAGACTGCGATATTATATATATAAAAATAATTTGTAAATATTAATGTAGAGTTTCGCATATATATATACTTCGATATATATATCATATTTATTGTATCATTAGAAACTTTGTATAATAAATTTCTTTTATATTTCTTGATGATCTTAAAAAAACTTTATAAGTTTATGTAACAATGTGAATGCTAATTTAGATAATATCTACATTCAAATGTATCAAAATTTCAACATTAATATGCTACGAGAGACATGCAACATTTAAGCCTGTATCTGACTATGGAATTTATTGCAATTTGATTGCTGCAATACATTGCAGCAATTTTTTCTATATGACTATGCAATTTTGAAAAGCAATTTGGTTGCAGTGATTGCACAAGATTTAGATCCAGTCCTAATTCTGGCAACTAGTTGCATGCAATTGTAGTAATAATTTTAGAGAATTTAGAACATAAGTCTTGTATTATATATGTTACATATATATTTGCTTTAAAAAGAGATAACAATATTTTATATATTGTACTAACATAATCTTATTTTATATATTTTGTTCTATAGTTGACAATAGTTCAGTTAATCTTATTTTAGTTGCCTGTAGTGTGATCAACATTCAAATAATTGTTGCAACTATTAAGTTGCAGCAATTAAGTCGCTGCAACAAGTTGCATGAAAAATTGCATTGTCAGATACGGGCTTTTTAGGAATAAAAGTCATAAAAAAATTCGTATTTAGCATAACTTAATTTTACAGTATATTATTTATAAATAAAATACATACTTTACAGCGCAAGCTTGTTATTTCATTTTAAGACGATTTATCTTTATTTCTAAACGGAGGTGCTATCCATTTCGTTTTTCCGCGAAGTTCCCTCAAACGTTGGTATTCTTCTTTGAAATCTTTATGCTCGTCCCTGAAGAGACCATAATTGCGTAAATGATACATTAGCGATTCCGTCTCCTCGTATCTCGGATAATATTCCACGATCTCCGGTCGTTTATTCACCGGTTTCTCGCTAAAAAGCTTCACAACTTTCATCGATTTCTGATTAGTCGGTCTGACCACTTCTCCGAAAATTTGATTTCTCAGGCGATTCATACGCATGGCATAATTAGTGCTCACGTTCGCCAAATTCACATATTTGTTCATCCTTCGACTCACTTGACCGAACAATGACAATATTAATCTTCCTTTTCTTTAAATCTACAAGAATGGGTAAGGTTAGGATCGCTTTGACGAGATTAGAACGAGCTTTATAGAATTCCAGACGAATGACAAATGTTAATTTCGAAAAAAAATAGTATCCTTAATTGTTCACTTACTTTTCGTATTTCATAAATTTGCAAAAAATTGTTATCTTCTGCCTCGAATATAAAGAATGTCTACTTAGACTGTGTTCCAAAATTCATTGTCAGCGCTGCCAGCGCTACAAACTGCATTCCAAAATTCATGGCAGCACGCTACGGCAGTGCTGTGAGAGAACAATGACGTCATTGATTTTGTCGTCACTTTCTGCTGTAGCTACTGCGGCTGGAAAGGTGAGGCAGTAGGTTCGTTTTTTATTCCTGTACTGGGTCGGAATTCTGTAAGTCGTTAACGATAAATATCGATAGCGTTAACTAACGACAATTATTGCTTGCGCGATCGACAGTCGTTAAGGTATATGATTCTGTAACGTGGACATAACGATAATAGTCGGTGCAAATTTCGTTACAAATGTATCGAAATTATTCGATAGGCGTGCAACATTGCCATATCTTAATATGGTAAAAATATAGTAACTTTACAGAATTTGTGTTTGTAACATCGAAAAACTGAAACTTGTTGCTATGTATCTAACCTATTTCTGTTATCTATTTATATCTGTTTTATTTATAATAATAGAATTGCTATAGGGTTTAAGAAATTATTAAAAAATGTCTGAAATTATGATTAAGACCGGTATTCATAATCCGGTCTTATATTTAAGATCATCTTAAGAACTCATTCCACCAATCAAATAACTACAATGCAGCTATTGATTGGTGGAATGAGTTCTTAAGATGATCTTAAATGTAAGACCGGACTATGAATACCGGTCTAAGTATTATATGAAAAATATAAAATATACATATAACGAAATGTTAATGAGTTTTCTTTTACAGCAAAAGAAAAAGAACGGCATGAGCGTCGCAACTACAATTAACCAAAATAATTGATTTTTTCAATCTAAACAAGGATTTAGCGGAAGGAAAATTCAACGCTCTTCACGGAAAAGAAGAAGCACAAAGAAAATGGACTGAACTAGCGGCAGAGCTAAATACTTTATAAAAAGCTACAAAAACGGTGGATCAGTGGCAAGTGGTAAGTGAAATTGTATGTTTGTTTTAAGTAAAAGTACTGATATAAAAATATATTCTATTTTATTACTCTTTACAAGTACAAAATTAGTTACGTTTTATGTAAAAAAAACATATACTTATGTATACATATAATAAGGTTTGGAGAGACTTAAAAAGCCGTGTTTCCATTAAAGTAAAAGAATTGTGTAAAGCAAAAGCTTTAACAGGAAATAAACCAATAACTCAATCTGAGCTTTCTGATTTTGAACTTCGTGTGCTTGGCATAGTTGGAACTGAATATGTGGAAGGACACACAGATTGTCCAGAGAGTATTCCTGACGAGGAGGTAACTTATATGAAACTAGAAAATTGTGGTATACAATTTACATCATATTTTCAATAAAGAAAGTATAAGTATCTTTAGTATAAGTATCTTTATAAATATATTTCTTTTCTCATATACACAGAATTTATTAGAAGAACTGGAACATGGAAATATTTCTGTTTTATCGGAGACTCCAAACGTAATCACTGTCTGCCCAAGTACCTCTAAAAAAATTTCTGCGGACACTCCATATGCATATGGTAAAAAAGACAAATATTTCTATAATTGGAAATGTATTAATACATGAGTACATTTATAATGCACGTATTCTATCAGCTTTCAATAGATTTTGTTGAAGCGTCTTTGTTATAGCGATAATAAATAAATTAGAAGAAAGCTGAATTATAAATAAATTTTATAAGTAATATATATATAAAACATATAAAAAATTAAGATTATTCACCGTTTCAATACCTAACTAACATTCTCATTATGAAATATTCTTTGGTTTGCAGTTAATCTCTTGGATGATAATGATGATGATTCAATTATCAATGACAAATCACTTCACTACACAAGAAAGAAATATAAAGATTCAGAAGCTATTCAAAATGATAATAATGTTGACAATACCGAATTAATAAAAAAATCAAAAATTTTTATTATCTCTTCTTCAAAAAAAACAATAAATACTCCATATCCACCAATTGAATCAAAGCCAACGGTACTATCAAAAAGATCATCAGAAACTATTTCTAAAGCGACTTCAAGATGTAAGTCTAAGAGCGAATTCACACTTTGACAGGAAAGCAAAAGCCAATCAAAACTCGCGCTGGTAGTAGCCTAAGCTTATTACCAACACGAGTTTTGATTGGCTTCTGCTTTCATGTCAAGGTATGAATTCGGCCTTACAAATAATGAGTTGTCAGTAAATTATAATTTAAAAATTTATATTAAAATTAGTTCAAATTTGTTCGTTAAAATTTTTTGTAGATAAAAAATTCATAAAATTCTTTAAATTGCAGTTAATTTTTTTGGGTAATGATGATGACGACTTAAATATCGATGACAAATCACCTCAGTATACAAGAAGGGAATATGAAGATTCAGAAGCTATTGATAATAATAATGATGTTGATAATTGCAAATCAAGAAAAAATTCAAAAATTTCTATCTCGTCTTTAAAAAAAAATACTCCATATTCATCTATTGCATCGAAGTCAATGGTATCAAAAAGATTATCAGAAACTATTCCTAAAGCGACTTTATCAAGAAAGTGTAAGTCTTATAAATAGTAAGTTAGTAAATTATAATTTACAAAATTTCCTATCTTAAAAAGTGCATGTTAAGTCGATAAATCGAATATATCGAAATGTTGAAGCCTCCTTTTCTGCGATGCTGATTGGATGCTGGTGCGTTCCGATATATTCGCGGGAAGTAGCGTAGCGCTCGAGCGCTTCGTCATCCATAACCTATTTGTTACTCTGCTCTTTCGTGTTACATAATAGTAGTGCGTTAAGAAAGAAGTAAAAAGAATCTCGAAGAGGAGAAGGAGAAAGAGAGAAAGAAGAAAAGTCGAATAAAGAAGGTATGTAAATATGTGCATAAATAATGCTCTTTTTTAAAAGAAAGTATGAAAAACTTTGATCGCAAAAAGGTCATATTACTTGTACATATTTATATTTACAATTATATTTACAATATGTATAAAAAGTATAAACTATATCGTAATTATATGTATGTACATATATATACATATATATAATATATATACATTACATATACATATGTACACATATATGTTAATATGTAAAATAATATAATAATTATAATTATAATTATTTTTGTTTGTAGTGAAATTACATTAATAATTTTAAATCCTCTCTGCATTATTGTGTATATATGTGCTCTTAATAAAACATTAATACATATGCAAGATAATATATGGAAGTTATTTGTAAATATGCATTACATGTTCTATGTTATCTTATATACTGTGCGTAGTAATGATTTAAGAGTATATGTACCAATGCGAATAGCATTAATCACTAGGCACTAATTTATAGATTAGTAATAATGAATGCTATTCGCATTAGTACATATACTCTTAAATCATTACTACTCATAGTATATAAGATTTCATAGATAACAAGCCATATAATGCATATTCACAAATAACTTTCATATATTATCTTGCATATGTATTAATGTTTTAGTAAGAGCACATACAATAATGCAGAGAGGATTTAAAATTAATTGAAATTAGATTAGTAACAATGAATGCTATTTGCATTAATACATATACTCTTAAATCATTACTACGCATAGTATATAAGATTTCCTAGATAACAAGCTTGTTGTACAAGCTTCTTTATAAGCAAACTCTTCCAGCAATATTGAAATTATAATTTCAATATTGCTGGAAGAGTTTGCTTATAAAGAAGCTTGTACAACAAGCTTGTTATCTAGGAAATCTTATTTACTATGCGTAATAATGATTTAAGAGTATATGTACTAATATGAATAGCATTCATTATTACTAATCTAATTTCAATATTGCTGGAAGAGTTTGCTTATAAAGAAACTTGTACAACAAGCTTGTTATCTAGGAAATATATAGCTATTCCTTTATATTTTTTGTATAAGTAAACTCTTCCTGTAATATTTAAATTTGATTAATACGTAATGTTGAATTCTATTTAAGTTAGTACGTATATTCTTAAATCATTACAATGTTATTTATAAAAATGCATATATTAAACTTTATCTTATATATACCATAATAATGTACTAATGTGGATAGATTTAAATTTATTAATTTAATTTAAATATTGTAAGAAGAGTATGTTTATAAAGAAGTTTGTATAAAGAAGTGGCTATACATTTTTTAGAATATTAAGAATATTAATACAAGAAATTTAGAATATTAATACAATATAACTTATATATGTAATACATATATTTTTTTAAATAGTTTAGTTTATTGAAAAACATTAATAAGAATTGTATATAAGTTATATTCAAAAAATATTTTTAAAAAATATTCAAAATATGTTAAATATATTCAGTGAATTTTTATCAATAAAACAAACAATGTATGTTTTATAAATATTTCCTATATATAATTCTTTAGTTTTCAAAGAATCAAGTTATTTTTAAAGTTTTACATATTATACTAATTATCTTGCACAAACAATAATAATCCAGAAAATGTATAATCACTTCTTTATACAAACTTTTTTTATTAGCAATTTTTCTTGCAATATTTAAATTAGATTAAGAATGTTGAACTCTATTTGCATTATAATAAATATGTTCTTAAATAATTATTATTGTATATATATAAGATAAAGTATAATTAAAGATAATACATATATATTTATAAATAACTTAGTTAAAAATAGCAAGAATTATAGTAGAAAATATTTATGAAGTATTTATTATTTATTATGTTAATAAAAATTTAATGAACATAGTTATATACAGGGTGGGCCATTTTAAGTGATCCACTCAAATATTTCGGAAAATAATGAAAAATCAAGAAAATGTTTCAGATAAAAGTTGTATGGCTTGAAGGGGGCCATCAGATAGTGGCAATGATTTGACCTTGGAGAGTCATTTGAAGATGACGTAAAGGTAACCTTCAATTTCTTAAATGGAACTCCCTATTTTTTATTACACATTCGTGTAGCTTATCTCGAGAGCTTTCCAAAACACTAATAAAGTATTTCTTCATTGAGTACTTTTCGAGTTATGAGGCTTGAAATCATTTCTTAATTTTGTATAAACCGTAAAATATCTAGTAAAATATTCATTTTTCGATTATCTTGCTTTAATACTTTTATGTACAAAATAATGAGAGGAATCAGTTGGTGTAAAGAAAACACAGTTATTTTTAAGAAAAAATATGTAATTTGCAATTAACAATTACATATTTTTTCTTTGAAACAACTATGTGTTTTTTTTACACCAATTGATTTCTCTCATTATTTTGTACATAAAAGTATTAAAGCAAGATAATCGAAAAATGAATATTTTACTAGATATTTTACGGTATATACAAAATTAAGAAATGATTTCAAGCCTCATAACTCGAAAAGTACTTAATGAAGAAATACTTTATTATAGTGTTTTTGAAAGCTCTCGAGATAAGCTACAAGAACATATAATGAGAAAATGTAGGTTCCATTTAAGAAATTGAAGGTGACCTTTATGTGACCTTCAAATAACTCTTCAAGGTCAAACCAATGGTACCATCTTATGTCCCCCTAGAAACCATACAACTTTTGTCTGAAACATTTTTCTCTAAACTCAACAGCATTTGAAATATCCGCCTGGGGCGATTAAAATGAATCACCCTGTATATATATATATATATATATATATATATATATATATGCATAATTAAATACACTACAGTATAGCTTATATTCTATATACATTGTAAATATAATTGTAAATATAAACATGATACAAATGGTATGATCTTTTCCCTACTTGGAGTTCAATCATAAATTTTTTTCTCTAGCATGAACTCGTGAATAGTAAAAAATTTTACTGACACAAATATTGAATGTATATTAACTTTTCCTAAGTTTACGTTACAAAAAAAGATTTATGATTAAGATTTTATTAATATAATATTAATAATAAGATCTATAAAATTATTTATATAAAATTATATATTAACATAATAAAATTTAAATATATATATATACACGGTGGGCCATTTTAATCGATGCACTCGAATATCTCGAAAACAGCACTCTTCAGAAAGAAATGTTTCAAACAAAAATTGTAGGGTGTGAAGGGGGACATAAGATGGTAGCATTGGTTTGACCTTGGAAAGTCATTTGAAGGTCACATAAAAGTCACCTTCAATTTCTTAAATTGAACCCACTATTTTTCATTACATATTCTTGTAGCTTATCTCGAGAGCTTTCCAAAACACTACAGACAAATGTTTTTTCATTAAGTACTTTTTGAGTTATAAGGCTTCAAAGTTTGCAGTACTTCGATATAAAATGCAAAATATCTCGTAAAATATTTAGTTTTCGGTAGTCTTACCCTAATACTTTTATGCACAGGATAATGAGACAAAACTATTGGTGCAAAGAAAACGTATGATTGTTTATGATAAAAAATGTGTAATTTGCAATGCACTTTTTGTTATAAACAATCATGCGTTTTCTTTGCACCAATAGTTTTGTCTCATTATCCTGTGCATAAAAGTATTAGGGTAAGACTACCGAAAACTAAATATTTTACGAGATATTTTACATTTTATATCGAAGTATTGCAAACTTTGAAGCCTTATAACTCAAAAAGTACTTAATGAAAAAACATTTGTCTGTAGTGTTTTGGAAAGCTCTCGAGATAAGCTACAAGAATATGTAATGAAAAATAGTGGGTTCAATTTAAGAAATTGAAGGTGACTTTTATGTGACCTTCAAATGACTTTCCAAGGTCAAACCAATGCTACCATCTTATGTCCCCCTTCACACCCTACAATTTTTGTTTGAAACATTTCTTTCTGAAGAGTGCTGTTTTCGAGATATTTGAGTGTATTGATTAAAATGACTCACCCTGTATATATACAGGGTCTACCAAAAGTGTGGAAACCCCTAAATATCTCGGAAAATATACGTTTTACAGAAAAGTGTTTCCAACAAAAGTTGTAGGGTTTAAGAAGATCTATATACTGATTCTATCAGTTTGACCTTGGATGGCGTCGTCAAGGTCAGGTCAAGGTCACATTGACTTTTTTAAATGACACCCCCTACATTTGATTGCATATTCTTATAGCTTAATTCAAGAGCTTTCCAAAACACTATAATAATGTTCATTTTTATTAAGTACTTTGCGAGTTATGAGGGTTGAATGATAGAGTAGCGCCGGTATTAACATTATCCAAGGTGTACTACATGGAGGTTACTCGCTCGGATTTGCATCTGTTGTGTGTGTGATCCAGCTAACTAAGGCAAGATCGGTCGTGGATCCAGTCAGCAAAAGCAAAGACCCAACCAAATTACAATCGAGCATTTAAAGACCTGGAAAGCAATCGACATAGTAAACAGTAAATAAATTTGTGGATGCTCATTTATCATAATAATTGTTCGAAATGTGTGCGTGTGCGTGCGTGCGGTGCGTGTATACAGAGATCAGGTTAGGTTGCACCAAACGATTGCAAATGTGTTTCAATGTGTTAAAGTAAATGCTGAAAGTGGCTGCCATTTACTTCCTGACAATATGCTAATCTTTGGTAGAATGTAGAAATGACTTTACGATTCGTTTCAAAAGGTATCAAAGCCATTTCATCCCTTATTCGCTGTATCAATTCGTGAATGGTTTTAGGTTTTGTTCTGTAAACCTTACTCTTCAGATATCCCCATAGATAATAATCAAGAGGAGTTAGATCTGGTGACCGAGGTGGCCAATCCTCTCCTCCCTCATTTCCGTTCCTTCTTCCTATCCACCGTAGCGGAAAAGTCTCATTTAAAATACGACGTGGTCCTGCACCAAAATGAGCAGGAGCTCCATCATGCTGAAACCATATTTCTTGGAAATTATTTGGAAAAGTATTCTGTATGGCTGGAATTATTTGATCAACAAGTAATCTCTCATACCTTTGAGCGTTCAAATATTCTTCAAAAA